AGGTGCCATGGAGGAGTGAGCATCCCCTGCTGACCTGTCACACCCGCCCTAGGCTCCATGTCATGATCGGGAAATAACGGGAAAATCCGTAGTCAATTCAGTGTTTAAATAATGGACTAAGTATTAGTATGAAAAAACGTCAGACAGCATTTGACTCAATGATAAATTGTATTTGCTGACAAGGTCATTGTATCTTTAATGATATCTTTATTGTAACTTTAAAGGAGACTTTGATGATGATGATGATGATGCAATAGTTGACAAGCTAGTGGGTGCATTAAATAAACCAGAAATAATGTCAAAATTTGTTGAATGCATCTGCTCTTCCAAAGTACTTGTAAAATCACTTGTCAGTCATCTCCTTCCTAGTCTGAAACATTGCAGAGTGTACTTGATCCTCTCAGTGTGTCTATCGATAGCCTAACTGAACAGTTGAAGAACTCAGAAAAGAGATGTGTAGAGTTAAAAATGAAAAATGATGATCTAGAACAATACACACGCAGACAAAATTTGAGAATATCTCGGATTACGGAAAATAAAGGGGAAAATACCAATGCCTTGGTTGTTGATTTTGTTAAAGAGACAATGAACTTTGACTTAAACATTCATGACATTGACAGGAGCCACCGAGTAGGAAAACCAAACTCTAAACCTAATCGTGACATCATTGTCAGATTTACTTCGTGGAAGGCGAGGCATAGCGTCATTAAGCGATGGCAATTAGTCAAAGACTACAATTTTTCTCAAAACACTTCTTACTATGTGTTTGAAGATCTAACCAAAAACCGATCCAAGATCTCATATCATGCAAGACAACTTAAAAAAAAACAAAGAAATCAAAGACACGTGGACGGCAGATGGGAAGATGTTCCTAAAACTTCATAATGATAAAATAAAAGTGTGCACGAGAATTGACGATCTTAAAATTGGTGCAGATACTCAAACAAAAACGTACGCCAGTTGGACTTTCCTCTAGGGGCCAAACTGAGTGTTAATTATCAAGATGTCAGAGCCCAGTCTGACAATGCAAACCCGATCACCAGCTTAAACTTGTCTATTGTATTCTGTGAACATAATTAACAATGTATACACTGCTTGAATTAAACCTAAAGTACATAAATTAATATATGCTTACCACATGTATTTGTGAAACTCTATATCCACGTGCACTTATTGTTTATGGAAAACCCCTGAAGTCACGTGATATATTGTAAGGGAAAAACACGTTATTTATAGAATGCCAACACACATTTTTATGCTGCGTTTTTGTACTACGTACAGTACTTATATTTTCCCCTTTATGACTTCGGAAAAACTCCACTTTATTTTTCTTGTTTATATTCAATTATTATTCATACAAACAATTTGCACTTTTTTTTTGTTGTATTCTTCTAAACAATTGCACTTTTCCTTCCATATCTTCTTTTTTTTCCCGAATCAGTGTAATTATTTTGCATTAAAAATGCTGAGTATATTTTTATCAAGTTATTATGGATTTCTCCAAACTCGTATAAGACTAAAAAAATGTGTTTACTGCTCCGGAAATTGTTGATCCATTCAAAATCTGTATTTATTTTGAACATGTCAACATCCTGTGTGTACCATGTGGCGAGACTCAGGTATTTTTTCCAATTCGTTGTAGATCTACTCAGTTGATAATTTATGACACACATGATTGATTTTCTTTTATTTGTTAAAAACCAGAGTCTCCCGAATTATATATACATTCCATGTTGCCCGTCACTTACACATAACTATTCTGACTTGAGGTTCACATGACTCAATGCCGAATTACATGCTATTGGATAGGCAATTACCTTATAAAATTAACTGTTCAATTTTTGAAGCAGTCCAACTGTACATCAAGTCTTCAAAAAGATTTTGTAGTACTTCATAATTAAGTAAAATATAAATCCTGATATTTCTTATAATTACATTTAATTTACTTCTCAGCATTTCAATGTTCCATGTATATGTTGTATAATTTTTCTTTTGGATAATTACTTTGCACTTTTTTATTGTTTTTTTTTTTTTGTTTGTTTGTTTTTTATTTTACTTTTCCTCACTCAGTGTTGTTGCTTGATTAAAATTTATTTGTCTTTTATAAATGTTACCCTTTCTTCAGTTATGTATTTTTCTTTGCATATTTATCCTTTGCACTTTATTATTTATTTACTTATTCTGTTTGCTGTTTCTTTGCACTTTTTTTACTTCCTTATCATTATATTTCATAGCGAGTATACAAACTTAGTAATAATTCTTCTGTATAATTTAATCTATTTTTTCTTCGCTTTGTTTTCCCATATATAGTTAAGAAAAGAAAATAATGTAACTTAATAAGTATTATTCCATCATTGTAAATTATTGTCAATATTCTTAACATTTGTAACCTTGACCTTGGAGAGGACTTATATAGGCCATGCCTGATGTCCAATCCAATTATGTAATCTAACATAATAAAATATTGATTAAATTAAACGAGACTGCTGATATTCTTGTTTCCTCAACTTGTTTGTTTATAATTAACCTCGTTTTAGAAATTGTTCATGCGTACAGCATGCTCTTGCGTATCGAATCAACTGAGATATAAAAACTCCATATGCAGGTGATGAAGGTATATTGCTGCATAAGTAAGGGAAGTTGACGATTGTAAAGTTAACGTCATAACGTTTATCATAAAGCTTATTAAATCCTATTTTGAGACAGATGTGTCAGACTCTGTGGTATCTTTTTCTCAAGCTCATCGGGATATTCCGAATCGACATTAGGGCTGGGACGATATATCGAGATATCGATATATTGTGATATCTGTGAGGACGATACGCATATCGATACTAATATAGAACTATCGAAATATCGCCCAAAAAATCTTACTTCTGTTTTTCTTTGTTTATATAACATTTGGGGTTTAAAACATAAAATAAATAAGTTAAATATAAATGTAGATATGAAATAAATAATAAATAACACCACTTGAGTCAAATATTTTTTTATAATATATAGAGAGCTTTTTAAAATAAATTATTCTTATTTGCAAAGAAATAATTTGTTTATTTATTTATTTTATTTCAATGCAAAATAAGATTTTATAAGCGAATAAATTCTTGTTTCATGCCATTGTAGAATTTTATTTCTATTAATAGATGTGCTCCGCCTTGCCTAAAGAGGTATATCTTAAAATAGGAATTCTCCTACAATTCCCCATTTTCAAAAGTGAGTTATCTCCCCTCAAAATCGGAACTCTTCAACACTAGCATAACTTCCGCGGACTACATGTTACGATAATCCAACAAAATAGTGATCAACTTACACGCTGTATTTTAAAATTTTAAAAGAAGGAAACGGTTTGCATTTTTTTAGATAATAAATTATTTTATAATGGGTCTGTTAGCCCCCCCCCCCCTTTCTAGAAAGCTATACGAATTAGCCAGGCACGTAGCATCGTCTTTAAAAGGGGGGGGTTAGCCAAAGAAATATTTTTTTCTTACCTGGAAAAGTTGGCAAGCAAAGAAAAACCTTGCCCAAAGTTGAAAAAGCTAATACTTATTTCAGTACCAGTTCCTTGGCATACAATACTACATTTCCCTTACATAACTTTACCGTAGTATAAACTGAGTGTGTGTGTGTGGGGGGGGGGGGGGTCTCTCTCTCTGATATCGTTTATTTACACACTTTGCAAAAAAAGAATAACTTATAAAAATAAATACATGTACTTACACTGAAAGGATTTAAAAAAAATAAATAACACTTGAGAAAAGATTGTTTTCAGTTAATTAACGAGAAATACGCTAGGAAATTATTGTATCAATTTCGTGTTTCTGCTTTCAATTCTCTGATCTAAAACAAAATGTGTATTTTACTCGGGAATATACATGTTGCTTAGATCCTACACTAAAACTTTGATTAAATGCAGCTCAGACTTTATACGACATATGTAACACGAATTCAGTTCGATGCTATTTTAATTAGTCTTTCTTCGTTACATGAGCACATGAGATTAAATTATTCATTTAGAATTCCATTCAAAGTTTTAATACTAAATAGTGAATCAATTATTTTACAAATAGAAAATTCTAGAAACACGGTTAATTCAAATGAAATAGGCCTTTAATTGTCACCAAATGTGTTCTTGTAAGTAAAAGTTCTATGTTATGGCATACAATCGAGCAAAAACGCAGTTTCTTGGTATCGCGGTAGCGGAAAACGAACTACTGCTGTATATGCAGCAATTTCAGAGGTAAAACTGTAGATGGACATGTCATCAGTCTTCAAAAAATTCCTAGAGATACAATGAAAATATGGCTGCAGCAGGCTAGATTAATTCGTAAAAACTTTATAACTAAAAATTTGTTCCGCACATTTTGTAAATAATGATGATCCGTCTGCAGAACATCCACTACCGAAAATAAGCTTTTTTGTTTGTGTGTTTTTTTTTTAATAGGCCTATTCGAATATGTATCAGCATTTTAATACATGTAGTAATTTGTCTCTTTTTTTTGTAAGGGGGGGGGGGGGGGGGTCACACAGCAACTTATTATAGTACTACACAGATTAATACAAATCCAGAAAGAGACTATGAGTGGGCAATATTAAAAAAAATACGAATCAGTTAAGATTTCTTTTTATTCACAAACACAATAACATTTTTCCATATGACAGAGGCATACACCATGAACATGTTTACATCAAGAACGTCCGCGGAAGTGACTTTATTTATAGCGCATGCGTATTAAACACAGTAAAAGAGTTCCCTTCAGGGGAAATAACTCACCTTTTGAAAATGGGGAATAGAAATAAAATTCAGAGGTATTTAGTTTGTCCTTATTAAATTAAACTGTCAGCGGCATATTTCCTTGCATAAGACATAATGGACATTAACTACTTAAACAATTGAATGGATTTCCTACGTTTGTTTAACAATTAAAATATACACATATGTCGAATATTTACAGTAACTAATTTTTTTTTTAAATTCCAATATCAGCCAAACAGACAAACAGCCATCTGCGGAATATCAATCACTTGCAATTATTTTGTGATGTAAATAATTTTCAATTTCCATGTTACATCCTATTCTATATTCCATATATTCATTACCTAAAATTCATCAGTTCTTAAAGTTGATGCAAGTCGGTCTCTAAAAGATGATAATTCCCTAGCGTCCTGAGTACATACTTCCATGTATGATTTGCTTTCTATAAGGTCCATCCACTTTAAAGGTAATTCCTTGATGACACTCCTTTTTGGAATAATAAACAACAGAACGTTAGATCCTCCCCTAGAATAAACGGATTCTATTCGCGCCATATTTATTTCTACGTCACACCAATAGGAGCTGAGATAATGTGACGTCAGGAAGCATATTGTTCTTCTACTGTTATGAATTGCGTTTGTGATATTGTCAACGATACCGGTACCTGGAATAAATTCCCTCTGGTGTATACACATTCGAAGATTAAAATTTGCTTCCATGTATTTAACAAGAGCAATAACAAATTCTCTATCCTCGTCAGCATAGGAAACAAATGCGTCGAAATGGTAGCTTATATTTTTGTTTGCAGTTTGGTTTCTTCTGTCCCGCCTCGCTACATAGTATAAATAACGAATCCTCCATCTATAACGGTGAACAATCTTACTGATTATAATTGTGACTACAACTAAAAGCAGGGCTGATGTGAGAGCTATAACCAAAGTAAAAGAAGCACATTCTTTCTCCATTTCTTTCAGCAATCTTGTAAAGTTATTGAAAGATTTTTGACTTGAATTCTGAAACAACCAGGTATAGTTGTTCATGTTTAGGAATTCTATATTTCTTGATTGGCCAATCCAAGTCAGAAATTGTATGTTCGAACACGAACATCGCAATGGATTGTTTTGTAAATTCAATGACACTTTTCTTACATCTGAAAGTGAATTTAAGGTTGTCCGCATTTCTTCATTCAGACTAGAAAGCTGATTAGAAGATAGGTCAATCCATTTCAGTTTTGACAGATGAGATATACTCACATTGAAGATTGCAAGTGAATTTGAACTTAAGTTTAAATACGTTAAATCGGAAAATCCTCTAAATATATCCCGGGGAAGGGCACCAATTTTATTATTTGCTAGGTCCAAGACCTGTAACCTTTTCTGATTTCTGAAAATTTTCCCACTTTTGTCCACTTTCAAGGATTCCCAAAGTAAATTATTTGATAAATTGAGGACTTGAATATTTAGAAAATCAATAAAGAAGTCGTTAGAGACTCTACTGCAAAAGTTGTTTGATAGGTCTAGGTATTGAACGCTTCGCATTCCGTAAACAGGTCCATCAAATCTGTAAATTATGCTGTTCTGAAAATGCACATGTGTGAATGTGTCCGATACATTAAGAAATAATGTAGGAAATGCATATTTGTACATATTATCGTGAAAGTAAATTGTCCGAAGATTTGGGGGAAGATAAATTGTGGTATTTTGCTTTCCCCCAACTATTTCTTCTTGAAATGGTCGCCCTGAAGCAAAATGCAATGATCTTTTCCGTTTGTAGTCACGATGATTAAAATCAAGCCCTGTGTTTTCTTCATGAGGGCCAAAATCTATAGAAAAATCCGAGTTGTCGTTTTCGTGTCTGTCTTTGCAGCGAAAATTAAAATCGACAGGATCAATTGCATGAAAACTAGACTGATAACTGGCATTCAACATCATAACGTTAGAAAGTTGTCCAAGATTTAACAAATATGCACCGAAACTCAAAACATTGTCAGCAAAATTAAATATACGAAGAGTCTTTGGAAGATATGAAAACGCTCCGAATTCGAAATGGTTAATTCTGTTAGAAGCTATGTTAAACTGTTCCAAAGATGTGTTGGAAAGATGTCGAATTTGCTCGATGTAGACAGCTGTGCTGATACCATATGTGCACTGTACTTTCTCCAAAATCAGAACTTTTATTCTTGTAAACTGTAGATCAAATGATATATTTGTCAACGTTGACAAAGACAGCTGCAAATTATATGATAGATCTAAGTGGCGCAGTTCAGTAAAAGTCATAAATGTCCCTTTCTCGATTGATTTTAGTTCATTGTTAGACATTGAAAGATTTTCCAGATTTCGGAGCTGATGAACAGATTCTCTTGTTAACTGTTCGATGAAATTATGTTCTAAATTTAAATATCTTATATTCCTTGTTAGATTGCTGGGGAATTTTAGAAAATTGTTCAATCTGAAGTCCACACTTTCAACATTTGGATGAAATTCAGGTGCCACCGATAGTCCAAGATTGGAGCAGTTGGCGTGCAGATATCCATTTATGTTAAAGCATTTACATTTGGAATTTGATGAACAATTCTTCAACATGAAGCATTCATGGCTTATAAGACTTGATGCCAATAGAAGACAGAGGACGGTGACGTCATCCATTTTCTGGACGGAAAACTTCATTGTTTTATCTGAAAACAAGACGTGTTTGTGAAACACTATGCGCCAGGCGGCAAGAAAGTTAAAAAACATATTTTTAGCATATAGGTCACAGTGAAAGTCACAAGGTCATGGTCATTTAAAAGTTTAATAGTGAAGTATGCATACCAAATATGAAGTCTTTATCTCTCATGGTTCAAAAGTTATGGTGAAGGTGCAAAAAAGCTATTTTTAGTATATAGGACGCAGTCAAGGTCACAAGGTCATTGACCTTCGTGTCATGTGAAAACGTTTAATTAGGTTTAATTAGTGGAGTATACTTGAGAAAATATCAAGTCTCTATCTTTCTTCATTCAAAAGTAATGGCGAAGGTATAAAGTTTGCCGACAAAAAAGCTATATTTAGCATATCAGTCACAGTCATGGTCAAAAGGTCATTGTCATTTAAAAGTGAGTAATCAGTGGTGTATGCATACCAAATATGAAGTCTCTATCTTTTATGGTTCAAAAGATACGGCGAAGGTTAAAGCTTGCATAAAAAAAATTATTTTTAGCATATAGGTCACAGTCAAGGTCACGAGGTCATTGACATTGTTGTTGTTTGAAAGAACTTAATTAGTGAAGTATGCATACCAAATGTAAAGTCTCAAACATTCATGGTTCAAAAATTATGGCGAAGGTTAGAGTTTGCAGACAAACAGATTAACAGACAGACAGACAGGATAAAAACAATATACGCCTCGGATCTTTCGCGCATAAAAAAGCAAATGCCTATATATGTATATAATTCCCCCAAAGGCACTTGGTGCTTCCTTTCTTATGCATAATTAAATGATAAGGAGTCGCGGTATAAGGAGGCGATCCTTACATGTAGGTCGCAAGTTCGAATCCCAATGTTGGACGTGGAGACCGCTCATTCAGAAGAGAAACAGAGGTCCTGTGTCGCAGTGAGTAATGTCACGAAAAAGATTCCTCACTGCTCTAAGACCCTAAGTGTCAAATAAAGTACAACATTTGCGAGTAGTGACGTCACAAATGCGTGAAACAGTCTCTGGGGACGTTAAACAACAAACATACAATATAAAAAGGAAAAGAGAAATAAAAATTAAGTTAAAGATTACTGCCTTTCGACCATCCGCAGACGAGTTTTTTTTTACCTCATTGTCAGTCGGTCGATATTTAGGAATCGGAAATGTCAAACGACGACGAAAATCAAACTATGGCTCAGGAAACGTTAACGGTGAGGGTGTACCAGCATAATATGAATATATTTTACTTTAAGGCATCGATGTTCCAAGGAATTATTGTGACAGCTCTGTTGGCTGATACCACTGTCGGTCATTCATGTATTTCAGACGACGGCACAAAAAAAATTGAAGCCCGACCATCGGATTACATGCGACCTTAGTATAAAAATATATCATCAAATTAAAAAAACATAGTACACATATCTACTCGTAACTACATGTAATGCCTTTTTGACAACAAAAGGAATGCCTTTATAGATTGATTCATTAACAGTTTTATGTTATACAAATATCCATCATCTAATTAACAGTTTAATGCAATCAAAGAGAAAAATACTTACAATTAAATTTCCCTATAATCGATGCTGAAAATAGTGCCGGAAAAAATACAGGCATTGGCGAAGACTAACTTGTTATATAAGTTTCGTGTTTAATTACTTTTTTCCGTGTTTGGCTTTTATAAACTGTCTCTGATGGTCACCGTAATTCTAGATACATTTGATAGGTTTCACGGTGAATGCCTTCAGTATTCTAGCTTTTAGGTTAAAACGCACAACGACATGAACTCCCTGAAGCAGTTTTAAGTACACGCATCCTCTACCTGGTAACAGGGAAGTGCGTCTTCCTATTCCAATTTTTAAATAATTTTTTTGGCTTAATAATTTAGAAATAAACTAAACTAGCTTGACCTTAGAGGTTAATTTTCACGAGCAAAAAAGGCGGAAATGACTCAGAGACATACAACAAACGGCTATTATTTCAGCATCAATTGATCATTTTAAACAAAGCCAATACAAAACAGAAATTGAAACCAAGAAAACATCATAATTCGATGGGTAAGATAATTTTTTTTACATAAGGCATCATCAAATTTTAAAAAAGGTTCATGGCAGATGTCTTCATGGCAAAGAAATGTAAAAGATTAAGATCTCAAAAATCTGAAAACAGTCATACATATATAATATGTGCAGAGTGTGCAATACGGACTCCTTGAAATTCAGGATACGGATCATGTGCCTAGAAGGAGTGATTATCCCCTGTAGACCTTTAAACCCCCCTTAAGTTCAATGGTTTTATCGGGTAGACAGTTTAACTAGCTGTTGTGCAAACTAAAATTAAATAATACATGTAAACAAACCGTAAAATGGACTCATTTACGTGTAGTAGTGATTAAGGTACTCCGATTCTCAGGTTCTGAGAATCAGGCATTGACTAATTGAAAAAAGTTCACAAATATGTCTCTGAATTCTCAAAGTAACGTGCTTTTACTCACGATAATTCTTCAAATTTAACCTTTAAAGTTAATTATTTTATATAAGGAAAATTAATAAATTTTCTGGAAGTGCGAATAAAAACACCTACCATGCAATATCCAATTCAAATTTGATCAACAAACGCATTTTAGGAATTAAAAATATAGGTATCCAGGCTTTTAAAGAAATTGCACAGTTTTTATACATATAAGGTACTTTTATTTCTTCTATTTACTTCGAGCCCCGTGGGGATCCGGGTTAGAATAGGTCCTCAGTGCCCCCTTGCTAGTCGTAAAAGGCGACTAAATAGGGCGGTCCTTCGGATGAGACCGTATAAACCGAGGCCAAGTGTCACAGTAGGTGTGGCACGATAAAGATCCCTCCCTGCTCAGAGGCCGTAAGTGACGAGCATAGGCCTAAATTTGCAGCCCTTCACCGGCAATGGTGACGTCTCCATATCAGTGAAATATTCTGGAGAGGGACGTTAAACAGTATACAATCAATCATCTATTTAAATCGGTGATTTTACAATGCATAGTATATTAAGATTTTCCTATCATTGCAAAAAAACCACAAATCACTTCTTATATCATATCATGTTAATAAACATTGGTGTCTATGATTTTATAAAAAATAAACCAACATTTCTTCAAATATGTGATTCTACAATACTTTTAATTTCGACTTTTGATAGGACATTTCAGAGAACTTCATAGAACCTTGAAGCACATTGAGAGTTATAAAATAAAATTGTTGCATGAAAAAAATTAATTTGCAAGCTTCATTTTGAGACTTTTTGAATTAATCTATAAATTAAAGAGTTATCCTTCTTGGCTGAGGATCGGAGTTCCTTATATGATCAATCAGTCACTGAAAAAAAATAACTAGTACAATTCACTACAAGGACTAGTAAATTTACTGTCCATACCATCCAGTATCTTATAGTAGTCTTACTAGGTATTGGGTAGATTTACATGTACTAGACAACATTAGTAAATCTAGAATTTATAAGCAACTTTCACTAGGTATATCTATACGATCTGTGCTCCTCATGACACCGACTACTCACTATTTTAGCCAGAAAACAAAATGATTACTAATCATAACGAAAGCTTTACGAGGCCCTTGAGTCAAATTAGCTAGGTACATGTATTTCTTTGAGTCAAATTAGCTAGGTATTTCTTATAGTGATTGAATACTACGATATGAAATAAATCAGCTGCTTTTTACCCAAATCAAGAGTACGAATGTTAGAGAAAAGAGAATAGGGATAAATTGAATAAATGACAAGGTAATTTAATCGAAATTCCAAATGTCGAGGTTCTAAATTTCTGATGTCAAGTTATTACTTGGATACACAGTATGTATACATGTACATTCAGAAGAGATAGAGAGAGAGTTAAGATTGGTATTTTAAAAAGAAATATAATAATCTTTTTTACTGTTCAGTAATTTGTTGTCAACATCTGTAAAAATGCGTCTAACTAATAAAGAATTCATTAAAACTTCTAGCTGAATGGTTTATTTGTATTCAGTAAAACTGCCGTCGGACATGACTGTAAAACATCCTACATGTATATATATGCATGTTAACAGATATCGTTAGTTATTATTCATACAACTCAATTTTGTATCCTCTATACACGCTCGTTAAGTTAAACATCGCACTTCATTTCTCTTCACGTCAGAGATGAATTTTAAAAATATATGTGGACCTAAGGTTTTTTTTCTCTATCTGCTCCTTTAAATTTCTCCGATAGGTATATGTATATATGAGAGAAACGCGGATCTTCAAGCAAAAGCTGATTGTTACCACACGACTTGAACACATAGACATTTTAACATCAAGACGACATAAAATGTCATACCATTAGGAATTTATTTTTTTATATTTTGTCAGTTTCTGAATATTTCCATTAACATATTTAAAAATTAACAAATTTGTTCATTATCATTATTAAACAACCAGAGAAATAAAACCGGGATATATATTGTAAATACCTGTTGAAGAGAAATGACGTAATAGAAAATCCAAAATTTTGGCAAGCAACAACTGCAGTGAGTGTATATTTCACATTCATTTCTTTATGTTATAATTTTATAAGATTCTAATAAGAATATCATAAAATATGCGTGGCAAATTCAACAATAAAAGAAAAATTAATTGTCTTCGTTGAAAGAATTGTTTACTTGTAAAGTGGAATATAGAATTTAAGATATTTAACAGCAATAAATTGCTTTTACTTGTTTTACTTACATTTTGTGGAAAAGGCTAAATTTCCATTTCTTGTGACCCGAATTATCATTTAACCAGGAAGTCTCCTTCACGCTCCAGTCACTGCAATGGACTCTTCTCACAGGCTTTCATTGTTTGAATAAGTGCTTGCTATCAATGTTTCAGATATCTTTAAAAACATTTAAAGGTGTACACAAACAAGCAAAAAATAAAGTGATTACATGACTTAAATAGTTGATAAAAGGAGACAATAGCATTGTTTTTTCTGCATAAGTTATAAAAGGAGAGCCCATATTTGTATAGAGCATAAAAATGTTATCTTTGCCCATTATTTGATTATTAACATTTGGACTTATCTGTTAGTCCCATACATGTTACTTTTTAACTTTACGTATATGTATTTATGTGTGTAAATTTGTGTGTATGTCTGTCTGTTAGCTGCATTCAAAGTCAATTTTTAACTTAGCTATGTTCATTGTATGAAAAAGTAAACTCTTGATATATTTGGTTTTGAAGTACTGATTGCATTTTGTACATTCTTTTGTATTTGTTTGTTTTTGTGAACTTGTTTATAATTGCATGTAGTTTTAGGAATATTTTGGTTGATATTTTGATTTGTTTCTACTACATGTTTGGATTGTTGATCAAGATTTATTTGATCAATAAATTACAATTTCAACATATATGGTGTTTATGTTATGTTGAGGTAAAGGAAGGAGGAGGCATAAAAATGTTATTTTAGTTCATACATTTATCAAACGTTATGGGGATTCTAGTTATCGTAGAATTTGAAATACCAGATTTCAAAATAAAGAAATAAAAGATATAACTTGTAACTAGATGACATTGTCAACATTAGCCGCATTCAAAACGAACTATATCATAAGGATGTTTTGCCATCTTTGGGAACAACATTAGACTGTAACTATTTTTGGTGTGTTCTTCTATTGCAGTTTCTTTCTTTTCTTTTTTTTTCTTTTTGTTCCCCATTTCTATCAGCAAACTTATAAAATTATTCTTTTTTTTCACTTAATTTTGAAACATCCCGATTTACGGTTTTATTTTTCTTGATTGATCAAAACAATACAACTTTTTTCATTCAGACTAAAATCCGACAACGAAAAATCTACGTATTTTATCTATTTATCAATCAAATAATAAGACATATTCACGTCAAAAAAATTCATGTAAATTTGTATTGAGATTTTTATCTGATATGTAAGTGGTAGAAAAATTGCCACAATGATGCATTCAATATAGTTATGTGATGTACATAATGTATGCTTCTTGAAATTGTCATATAAAATGCAGAACTAATAATTGTTAATTTTTTGGATATTACTAAATAATAGTAATTATATAATGCAAATTAAGTCCTGTACTTTACTGGCAAATTATTAAAATTACTTCATCAAATTTTGACAGTTTTTTTTTTTCTAATATTTATCTTAATATATTTAAATTACTGTTAACTGGTTAGATCATTTTCGCATATATTATACGTGATGTATTATATACATGTACATGTATAATAAAAATTTCTTCAAATCATCATGATCATATTCAACCAAGTTTAACATTTCCAAAATATGTATACATTTAAGAAGTAAATGTTTGTTATACATGTATATTTGAATACATGAACAAACGAAAAAAGAAGGAATATTAGTGGTCATATATCGTGTTCATGTAGTGATGTACATTGATCAATTTCTTTTATCGGGAATTTTGACTCAGGAAAGACAACTCGTTGAATTGTCTGCGTTGTTTCTGTTGTAGTAAAATAAAAATATGCCACTTCTTTCTTCGATTAGTTTCGATTTTTTAAATTAAAATAAAATAAATGAGGATCCAGTCCTTTAAAACTGTACATGTAGTATGTTTGATTAATTTTATAAGAATATCAAAAAATAAGTGTAGCTTTTACAACAAGAGTAAAATACCGATATTTTTTTTTATCTTCGTTGAAATAATAATAATACCTTTAAATGAAATATAGAATGTAAGATATCTACAGCAATAATTTTGTTTACTTGTTTACTTACGTTTTGCAGAAAAGGCTACATTTCCATTTCTTGTAACCCTAATTTTTATTCAATCAGGAAGTCCCCCTCTTGTTATGGTCACTGCGGACGTCTTATCAGAGGATTTTATTGTCTGAATCGGTGCTCGTTATAAATGTTTAAGATATTTTTAAAAACATTTAAAGGTGTACACAAACAAACAAAAAATACAGTGTATTATGTTTAGAACTTTAAATATCGGAATAAAAAAAAACAATCAGCCTTGTTTGCAATGTCGGTAATTTTTTTTCTCTGCACAAATAAAAAAATATACAGGGCGCATATTTGGATATAGAGCATAAAAATGTTATTTTAGTTCGTACATATATCAAACGTTAAGGGGATTCTATAGTTATCGTAAAATTTGAAATACCAGATTTCAAGATAAAGAAGTAAAAGATATAACTTGTAACTAGATTACGTTGTCAACATTAGCCGCATTCATATCGGACTCTATAATAACTAAACGTAAAGGAATCTATAATAACTAAACGTAAAGGAAGTTTTGTCATCTTTAGGAACGATTACTTAGACGGAAACTATTCCCTGGTTTTTCAAAGTTGTGTACTTCTGCTGCAGTTTCTTTGTTTTCTCCATTTCTATCAGCAAACTTGTTTATTTATTTAAAGTTTTTTTTAACAATATTCCGAAACAGCAATTGATTGATTGATCAATTCAAGACAACTTTTGAAGTTCAAACAAAAATACTGACATGTATTCCAATGTAACCCCCCCAAAAAACGTTGTTTTTCAAAGTTGTTCAAAAAAGTTTTCTTTTTAATCAAGTACTAGCTTGTTTCTTCATTAAGACATTAATCTGACAATTAAGACGAAATACATAATACCGGAATTATAATTAATTCATTTCGATAGACAATTATTCGATTTTTTTAAAAAATATTTATTTTTATATAATACTTGAATTACTGTTATAAATCATTTTCGCATAAATTCTACGTAATATACGAGGGGTTATCAAAAAGTTCGTGGACTGAGGCTATAAAATTAGTACTATGTAGTCTGTGCTTTCAAAATTTATATGGAACATAAAACAACAAAAAATAAAGAAATGTTGAAAATTTTAGCCTGATACGTTCATTATTTGCCAAATTATTATAAAACATAAACTATATTATATGATCGCCCGGCGCTGTCGTCGTTTATTTTCATGATGTCCGATAACGTCATTGTTTTTTCAATGTCCGCTTCTTATACCTCATACACTTTTTTGATGAGATTCCCTGGAGCTGAGTAAGGACTTAAACCCGCCTTGGTTATATGACTTTACAATGTCATGAACAGTGACCTTCAACGAATATAATATTCCAAATTAATACATTCGGAGAGATCTGCGCTTGATTGTGCGGGCATATTTTGCTTTTGGGAGTTCAATATCTACAACGCATGATCAACGTCATTTTTTGACGTGATTGATTTTTCACACCTTGACTGCAAATCGACATTAACTGTGTATCCCTTTTCTTTCTGAATCTATTTGGACATTAAAAGACAAGTACTCTGGATGCATATTATTTCTCTGTAGCCAGTTTCAACATATTTTAGGTCTATACCAGTTTTTTCAGGGTCAAAACTTTATAGAATAATGGAAACGGAAACCCCTCCCCCTTTTGACGTCATTTTCAAGGCCTCATTTGTATGGACATTCCGTGTAAAATTTACAAATTGTAAACAAATGTGTCCCGACACATACCTGAATTAACGGGATTTTTAGATGTCAAATGATCATATCAAGAGTTTTTCTCAGTTACACATAGGTCGCAAAAACGTCGTGTTCGAGGTTGCGCCGCCAGGACACACCATTGCTTACAAAAACATTACTAATTTATGAAAAAATAACATTTATGATTTATGGTTTATTCTTTGGATAGAAAAGATGATGCTAACTAGATATTTAAAAATTCATTGATGTGCCTAAAGCGGTTTTAATTTTATGACGCTAGTCCACGAACTTTTTGATAACCCCTCGTACATGAACATATAATATGCATTTCTTAATATAAATTGAAATATTTTTATACGTGATATATAATATACATTTCTTAATAACCTTAAATTGAAACATTTTTACCCTATAGAAAATATATTTTCTTCGAATATTTCGTTTTAATATCTATTCAATCAAGTTTAAAATTTCCAAAATATGTGTACATTCATGATGCAAATGTGACTAAATGTTATACTTTTATATTTTGTACAACAGAAAAAAAGGGGGAAGATGAAATAGTCATGTACATTGAACATGATATTTTTTTCAGGATTGTTGGCTCACTAGTCAGGAAAGACAACTCGTATGGTCTTATGCAGCAAGGTTTGTCTGCGTTAATTCTGTTGTAGCAAACATTAAGGGGGGATCAGAAAAATGTTATCACTTCTTTCCTTCGACTAGAATTAGATTTTTTTATTTATTTGATATATAATATAGGATGATCCAGTACTTTTAAAAAATGTACACGTAGTTTGTTTCATTTGTTTATGTTTAAATACAATTTAACTCATCGCGTCGGTGGTGTAATGGTCAGCATGGTTGCCTTCCAAGCAGTCGATCCGGGTTCAATTCCCGGCCGACGCATCTTTTTTTTTCTATTTATATTGCTTCAATTCCACCTCTTCTGGCCTCAATTTTACAAATGTGGTTGTTTCTAAATACCCTTTCATGTATACAAGGAATTGTAAGATAAACAGACATTAGAACTTCTTCAAATATTTGAAATTGAAAAAAAAACATGTATGTTTCAAGAATAATGGGAAAGATGAGAAATGATATACCTTTAGAATAGAAAGGCCTCAAGGTTCACTGCCCAAATATTCTTTTACAAAATTCAACAAAAATTGATTTTTTGATAGATGCCAAATAAAAATATTTTCATAAATGGTATTCTAATAGATTTCCTTGAAACAACCCAAAGTATAGAAACATGCAATTATTCACCTAGTAAAGCAAAAAGAATATTTTAATAATTATGTTTAAAACCTGGCTTTTTTAAACAAAAATTTATTTTAATATTCAAACAAATTTAAATATGATTTTGAATGATTATCTACTAGACTATTCACAATAACAAAATTTTTAATAAATACATGTATATTTAAATTATATAAAAGACAAAGAAAGCACTTTTTCAAGTAAAACAGGAGCAAACATACTTTCAATTCCTTCATTATTATTTTTATAACCCAAAAAAATGAGCACACAATTACTGGTGCATAAACATTATACATAAAGTGTTCATAATTGCACATGTGAGTAATAAACAACAATTTCATGAAAAGACATTAAATTTTACAAAAAAATTCCAAGAAAATTGATTTTCATTACAGATACATGTACAGTTTACTTTACTTATGATAAAACTGGTTAAACCTTAACTAATTTAAAACAAAACAGATGAAAAAGAAAATCATCACAACAATAAAATGACTTCTTCCTCAGTTCAATCCTAGTTCAATAAATACTCTGAGGTCACACCACTGAACAGAATAAATAGCTGAAAAGTCATTGGTCAGTTGAATGTATTGCACTGTAATTATAGAAAAAATGTAATCAACGCAAAAATACTCTAATAAACAATGTAATAGTAAACATTTATAAGCCTCAAGCAAAAACTTGTTGTTTACAAACATTCTAAGTAATTAGTAATACAGAAAACTTCCCTGAAACCATAAATTACATACAGCCATACATATTTTTCATTCTGTTAGTTGTGCATTTTAATGTTTTTTATTACCTGTATATGACAGAATAAACCATTCTTAATTTAAAATACATTTACCTTCAGAAGTTCAGTAAAAAGTGAAAATGTGAGGCAAAAAGCTTTTCAAAGTCATAACTACACAAATGGCTTACCAGTAATACCCTTTCTGACATATTTTATTTCCTAAATAAATCTGCAACATGAATATACTTTGAAAAAGCAAGCATACTAACAATGGCATGATGATCCTTACCTATTATGAGATTTCTATTAAGAATTTTATCGTCTATTTTCTATGTGGTGTCCCAGCCTTCACTTTTTTCAGATAATGGTAGTTAGGTAAGATCTTGGCTAGAAAGTCAATCTGTAAAGACTGGGCCTGAAAAAAAATATATTAAACCCATCTAATGAACCTTTAAAGTACTGTGGACTCATCATTGTCCCTTGGGGGGTCAATATTTGTGGATAATATTGTACTGGTTTGTGGGATGCAATATATAAATAATTAGATATTGCATGTAGTTGAGTGTAACATTGAAAATTTTCACCCCAAGAAAACCATTGTCAACCGAGAAAGGTAACTCTGTCGGGCCTAATAATGTTTGTGAATGTTACACTCAACTATATGCAATATTTATTATATTTTACTGAATGTAATATACAAATACATTTAACAGTGAACTGTGCACCCATAAATTTTGCGCAGTCGCTATTTTTTGGAATATCACCCGTTGTCAAGCACTGTTGACTATTGCTTTGCTGTAGGGCTTTGCTTCATTATTCAGCGGGTAATAGTGTTTTTTAACAAATGTTTCTTGACCAGTCAGATTCAACCAATTTACATGAAAGTACAATATTTGTAATTATCAAGAAAGGTAACTCTGTCGGGCCTAATAATATTTGTGAGGATGTAAAATTGTGGGAAAAAATGACTTACTGGGGGTTTATCGGCGGCTATCCTCCGCTGGCAGTCTGATCCGTAGATTACGGAGTTCTCCTCTAGAACCTCACAACTCGACACTTCACACTTGGCCCCAATAATACACCCTGACGTCAGCTCCACCTGTCTGCCAATCTTAGCTGCAACACAGAAACATGATCAAATCCTGTTGAACTTTGCCTTTTCTTGTATATAGAATGTGTTGAATTTAAGTACATGTTATATACTTGAATAATTATACATGTACTTGAATAATTCAGAATTTTATTCTTCTTTGTTCTTTATTTTGCATTGGGTTCTGTGTTTACTTAATGTGTTGAAATTGTTCCATGTTCTATAGTTGTGTTAGGCAAGAACTGCACATACTGCTCAAAGATCTGAAGCTTTGCTTATGAGCAGATCACCACATGTGTTGTCCAATATATACCACTCTCTGAAACTGATGACTACAGAACATGCACATTAAAAATTTGGATATTAAACACATAAAAGTAACATAATTTTTTCTAAAGTTTTATTTTGCTATTTTTTTGGGGTATAAAAAGACATTATAACTTCGTGACTCATTTGATCTGATGATCTGCGCCTGTCAACTTGACGTGATACAACACTTCGGATGGAGTTACTGTTATGATAATGCATATATATTTTATGACTATAGGGAATGAAATTATAAGGAGTGAAAGTGTTTGATAAACAATACAAAATCTCAAATTTTTTGTTTGGTTAAGCTTTTGATTGGGATCATTATTCACTGCTGGAAATAACAATGTTCAGCTATACTCGGTAAATCAGATGTATAGAACATGTAAAATCTAAATAAAAACATCAAAATGAAACTCTTCTGACCTTTGGCCTCTACCACATTGTGATCTCCTATCTTTGTGGCCTCCACATCTATTTAAAGGTCAAGGACAAAAACACAAACAAATTTACATAACTGGAAATAATATTGTAGCTAAATTATTTTCTTATTTAGTAAATGCATCTTCTAAATGTCTGTTACTTGAGAGTGTTGTCCAACCTTAAACCAGAATAACACAACCCAACATGAAAAACTGCTTGTTGTAGGTAATAAGGATACAGGAGTCCACTTCGAACACATTGTTGTTTCCTATAATCATCACCTGCTGGGTTGTGCTTGACTTTCCTTCTGGATTCCTGAAAATTTTTAAGCCTTTAGTTCCAATTTTTTTAACACCATATCCCGGGTACACACACAAACAAATAATTGAATTCTTAAACCTCTAGTGGGAAATGTTTGCCCGATAATATCGGTGACAGTTTAATGCAAATTCTCAAAGTTCAAAGGGAAAAAATAAAACACTGAAATATTATCAGTTTCAGGTAACATAAAAATATCAAGGCTTACATATGTATATGAGCAACTTGTATTAGTGCATAAAACAATTTTTAGTTCATATTACACATTAAAAGTAAGATTTTTTTAACTTAATACTAATCCTGAGTATATTTGTGCCTGATTGCTTTCTGATTTAGAGAGGGGAGAGTATTAGCTGCAGAACTGTAGCTCTTTGAAAAAATATATTGACAGACCAGAGAGCTACAGTGCCATCCATTGAAAAAAAATGTATTTTAATTGCACACAAAAAGTTGTGCTTTGTTCTGGATTAATTCTATCAAATTCTTATCTCAGTTGTGAAAAATCTTGATTTCGAACAATTCCTTACTCCTCTATCAAGAACTCTCATAGTAACTACCTGTATCTGCACGAAGTTCATTAAACCAAATTATCTTGCAAACCAAAATGGCAGTACAAATAGACAAAATTTTGATGATCTCAATTTCAGGGCCAGGAGGGCTATTGATAACAATTATAAGGAATGTTTTGTAATGGAAGCAGTAAAAGAATATGTAAGTAATATTTTGAGAAGACAGTTTAAAAACATGGAAAAATAAATCAGGAAAAAACAACGCACTTTTTTGTGCGCAATAAATATACAAATTTTTCAATGGGTGGCACTGTACCTCTCCTGTGTGTCAATATATTTTTTGGGAGAGCTACAGCTCTGCATTTAGGAGAGCATAAGAGAAGAAAGATACACATCTTACCTTTACATTGTTTTCTCCCAAAATGATGGTTACCTTTGATATATTCATATTGAATGTTTGGATTTTTTTTATTTTGAAGAGGAGGACTACGTACCTATTAATAATCTGAACAAGTTCTTCTATGATGTTATTTTCTCCAATAATAATGGGCCCATCCTCTGCAATGATCCTGGCTTTTGGGTGAATAACAGTCCTGCTTCCTAACCATTATAATAAATAATAGAAAATTCATAACTTATATAATCCTATTTAAATGAAAATAAAAGCAACTGCTAAATACATTTGCTCATTTCATGGATATTATTATTTGAAAGTTATAGAGAGATATAAATGGACATGACCTCAGTATCCAGCAGCCAAGCAAACAAAAGTTGTGAGAATCTTAAGAGTTTATCAGGCTTGTTTAATTTGACAAATGTCTGTACATAAATAACTGACATACAGCTAAATAAAGCTACCTGAGGTAGGTAAATAAAGCTACGTAGGTAATATTCCAGCTACATAGTTAAATCTGGCTAAAAAAGCGATTGTACTGTTAGTACCTGCTAAACAGGTCCAGCACAATTCCCCAATAAAGGTATATAGCTTGATCAAGGTATTTTATATAATGAAAAAACAAAAACACATTCTTTAAAAATTAAATCTAAAAGTCGAATTATGAATTGTGATAAATGTGTCCACTCTTACATGAAAAGTACTCAAGTATCAAAAAGACAGCATATAAGAATGTCTCTTCACACAACATGCTTTTAATATACTGATTTCTTTTTGTTTGAGTACTTTACATGCATGAGTGAATATAATGACAACAACTCAGAACCCAACTTTCAGTATTTATTTTTTTTGATTTTTTTTTTTTTGTATTTTCATTACATAAAATAACTTGATCAAGCTTAGATAGAAAGTTCTATCGTTAAAATGATAAATGTCCCACAGACCCAGTTTAACGATAGAATGCGTTCCGTGTATTCACAATGTAGCAAAGTAAACACGGGTGATAACTCGTACTAGTTTATTTACTATGAACAATCAAGTAAGAGAGTTCTGAAAGTAAACATGGTGTGTAAATTTGAAGCGAGAAAAAACGTTGAGAAAATTAGTTGAATTTTCATCTTTATTTAGACTAAACTTTAGGTTTCAATACTTACACAGCCCCAAAAAGGTTTGTTATGATTAATTCGGAAGTTATTTTCAGTGCAAATCCCTTTGTATTCTTCAAAATCTTTTTGGAGCGATTCTGCAATTTTTTGCTACATTGCGAGTATATAGGAGGTATTCTAACTGTGGTGAGGGCTTGTCCCAAGACACAGTTAGATTATTCTAACTAGATCAAGCTATATAATATTGTGCTGGACCTGCTAAATTCGCAAGCATCAAGAAAATACACGATAAATAAAATGCTTTGATCCTCCTTAAATTTATTGAACTTGTTAAATTTACTGCTTCTTAATTTATCTACATCATTGGTATACATGTGTACCTATAGTTATGTCTCCCACCAGTTCACTCTCTTCACAAATGACAGCACCAGGCTGAATCTTTATGCTGAAAGAGACAAACTTCCGAATCACTGACGTCCAAAATTAAAATAAAATAACTGGAATACCTTATTATTAACAAAGATTCATTTAAACATGGGGTGATTAAATCTGATGAGTTAAAAAATACATTTTTGTACAAGTTTATCTTTTTACCTTGATCGCGACATGTTTATAGTGTTACAATATTTTGTACGCCGAACCCGATCTTATCAAGAAGGGGTTATACACTGTGTACTTTTCATCGTCATGCACGTTGATTCAGTCGACTCACTTAATGAGGAAAACAAAATTTAATGGCATTTAAACCATACAGAATTAAATTTCAAGACCCACACCCGTAAAATTGCTAAAGTTCCCTCTCTTTTTTTTTTTAGCTTTCAAGAGTATTGTAATTTCCCGTCCGTCCGAAATTACCGGCATTTACCCTAACTCTTTTTTTTTAAAGAAAGAAAATGAATACATTTCTAGTTTGAAAGACTCGTTGATTTTAATAAACGAGCGATAAAAATTCAGACATTACATACTCTATTTAAACAACGAGATTTTCTTTAAAAATGTTGTGCATGAAGGTTGAAAATCCTAATTTTTTTTTAATCACTCGTACAAAATATGCATTGAACAGTGTATACATGAATCAAATAAACTACGATCCTATATATTTAAAACATCCTATTTTTGTGAATATTCGACAAAAGTAAGGGAAGTAAAAAGTTCTGTGTTTTTCCAACTTCGTCATTGATTAACTCTTCTCTCCCAATACATGAGTGAGTAATCAGACTGGTGAATTTCTGCTCATATTTATTTGTAAATAAGTAATGTTCACGGAATAGCGACCTCCATGTAAAATGTCTGCATCATCATGTATACTGGTGTTTCTTGTTGTCAGACGAGTCCTGACTTATCGTAAGTACAGCTCTACTGAGAATTATTTATTTAAAACAATCCTTAATTTTTTTTTTAATTGTTGCCCTCTCCTATGGAATGCAATATACGACAGCCAACTGCTTACTGCCAACTGCTAACTGCTTACTGCCAACTGTCAGCTGCTTACTGCCAACTGCCACACATATTTGAATAAATTTTATTTTTATATTGATATTTATGTAAATTAAAAAAAAAAAGGCGCGGATCTATAGGACATTTTTTCCAAAAGGGTCACTCTGGTAAAAAAAAAATCCAACCCAGAAATTTCTTGACAAGAAAAAAATGCGTAAATATAAATGTGAAAATTTATTTTCATACATTAATGTGTATGACATTTATCATACCAACTTAACACGAATCCACATTTTCGGTTGGGGAACTAAGGTCCCTTTTAGTTGATTTATTTTATACATTAAATGACTTTTAGTTGGTTTAGTTTGCGCATTAAATAACTGTACAAATTTCAGAGAGGTGTTCCGGACCCCTCTCTCTAAATCCATGCATGTAAAGCATATCTTATTGGTACAAATAGAGATATAAATGTTTGATCGGCGTTTTCAAGTGGAGGGTCCAAGATCAGTTATACCGGTAGTTCGTTTAGTTTATTTAACGTATGACTGTACAAATTTTAAATGCCCACCGAGATCTATGCATGTGAAACATTACAGGGACGTAGCAACGGGGGGGGGGGGCATAACCCCCCCACTTTTTTTCCCAACATTACCTTTACTATTGAAAATGTATATTGAAAGGATGGTTGCCCCCCCCCACACACACACTTCTTACCATAGTAAGTATAATGATATCAAGGATATGTAGTATTGGGTGGAAAAAAATGTAAGTGAAAGAGTTGGCCTTATAAAAAAGTTGCCCCCCCCCCCCCCCCCCCCCCCCCCCCCCCCCCCCCCCCCCCCACCACCACCACGAAATAGGATTTTCGAGTTTGGGCTATTTCCTTTTTTTTTTTGGCTTGTCAACTTTTTCAGGTAAGTAAAAAAAAATGTCTCTGGTTGCCCTCCCCCCTTTCAAAAACGACGCTACGTGCTTGCATTATAACACACAGAGATATACATCTTTAATTTGAGGAAATGTTTAACTATAGAATATAATGGAAAACTGAAATTTATTTTCAAAACATCTTTCTCTGCGAAACGACAAATCTTTTTTATTATTATTCTCTCTTCAAAGGTTTTGTTGTCTCCGGGGGAGGGGCTTCTTTAATGTGAGGAAATGTTTAAATATAGAATTTAATGGAAAACGGAAATTTATTTTCAAAACATCCTTCTCTGCGAAACGACAAATCTTTTTTATTATCATTCTCTCTTCAAATGTTTTGTTGTCTCCGGGGGAGGGGGGGGGGGGCTTCTTTAAAGATTAAAAGGAGAAAATAGTCATTTTATTACCTATTTCAAGTAGGAAAACAAATTTAAAAAATAATAAACATTATTATATGATTGAATAATTTCAATCTCTCTGATTTGCTGAGATCTAACTATGTTAGAAAAATACTACGTTGTATTGACCTGCACGTGACGTTCCAGGTCAATACAAGGATTTATTTCCTCTACATTGATCTAAAAATAGATTGGGAAATTCCAAATTGATACAAATTGTCTTGGAAAGCTATTTAAACGACCGTGAATTTTTTTTTTTCATGTGAAAAAAAAACAGCGAATATATATTTTAGGGTGAGGGTGGTAAGAGGGGATGCAGGGACCCCCCTCCAATACTTTTACTGAACAAGATGTGTTTTTTTTTTTTTACTTTTTGGCAGTCAGTTTTCCCTGATAATACTCCTTCCTTTCAAAATATATCCTATAAAAAGACTGACATTATATTATTTTTTTCATGGCAACTAAAATTGATTAAAAAAAACCCCACAATTTCAAATTGATACGACTGGTAAGGTTTATTCACATTTTAATTCTGTTTCTCTCTTGTATTTGGCTAGGACTTGAGTAAATGCAAGTTAACAAGTAAATGAGCTGTATCATTTTATCAGTGAATCATATAATAAAACAATTATTGCTGTTTTTTCGGTCAATACAATGATTTAGCCATCTTCGAAGTACAATATTCACCTCGCCCTTCGGGCTCGGTGAATATTGTACTCCTCAGATGGCTAAATCATTGTATTGACCTCAAAAAACAGCAATAATTGTATAATGTACTTTATCAACCGCATATATTGAATATTACATAAGGTAAAACATATTGGTCATTTTATTCAATTCAATTTTACCAAGGTGACCCCCTTGAAAAAAATGTCCTGGATCCGTGCCTTTTTTTCCCTTTTTTGTGAAAATTCATATAAATATCAATAAAAATATAAAATTTATTCAAATATGTGTGGCAGTTGGCAGTAAGCAGCTGACGGTTGGCAGTAAGCAGTCAGCAGTTGGCAGTAAACAGTTGGCTGTCGTATATGGCATTCCATACTCTCCCGACTGACTAACTCAAAACTTTTTTTAACCTTTCCGAGCACTAGGATATTTTTTCCCTTTTTATTCCTTCAACAAATGTGTTTAAATTTTCTGCAAAAAGATTTTCCCAACTCAACCTACTGACCCATTAATTTTACCCTGAGTCGGGAGAGGGAAAATGTACATTTTTTTCTTCAATACAAATAGTCCAGGAAAACTACATTATTGAGTTTGGTAAAGATTTTAGAAATAAGTTATTTGTGTATACTTAAATGAAAAGTAAAATATTACTGAGAGAGTTACTGTTTTTGTAAACTTTAAATATATCGATACAAATATATCCATCCTTGTTCAGATTAAAGCATGAACTTGCAGTTATGTAATTAAAAGTTGAATTTAAAGTATACGAAATATCATATTGGAAGGGAGGGGTGAGAAGGCATAATAATTATAAAACTGATAACTTCCCTGGAAATTCATCGACAATCAAACTACCTTTTATCCAAAAAACAGCAAAATAAATAAAGAATCACATAATCGAGCAGTGTGTAATGTGATGGAAACCACTTTTGGGACAAGAAATAAAACTAGTACAGTGGTGCATTTCCACAACAGAAATTTTCGTACTTAACCAAAGAAGAATGATTATATTTCGGACTTAAATGGGGGGGGGGGGGCTCATAGTTTGGACACATTTATGAAGTACGAATTAAAAGAGAAAACTGATTATTTTCAGTAAGAGGGGGTTGTAAATGTTATTAAGTGTGAATTCAACATTTAAAAATTGTCTACATATAATTATATATTAATATAGAAATGTTGTTAAGTGTGAATTCAATATTGCACAAATTATCTACATATAAATACATGTAATGCCCTGTTCACACGACGAGTTTAATTCGCAGTAAATTAATGCGAAGTAAACTAATGCGAATCAAATTAATGCGAATTAATTTGCGTTCACACGACAGCTAATGCGAAGTAAACTAATGCGAATTAAAAATTTTCTTCTACTGTCAGGCGTCAGTAAGTCTATTATGACGTCATTTGCAAATCACGTCACCTTATGCATAAGTAGATGCATTTGACATAATTTCACAGTGTCTGGAGACATATTTTAGTGATTAACTCATTTTTTCTTAGTTTTTCAATTAAAAATAGCACAAGTACTGAAAACTGACCACCGACATGACGCATTTGACTTAATTTCGCCATTACGCATGCCCCAAAATTTAATTCGAATTAGCTTCGCTTAGCGTTCACACGAAACTAATGCGAAGTAATTTAATGCGCAGTAAACTAATGCGAAGTAAACTAATTCGCATTAAATTCTCCGTGTGAACGCTAAGCGAAGCTAATTCGCAGTAAACTTACGTTTAATTCGAATTAAACTCTCCGTGTGAACAGGGCATAAATATAGAAATATTAAGTGTGAATTCAATATTGTACAAATTGTCTACATATAATATATAGAAATGTACAAGCTTAAAGGAATCAGATTGGGATGGTCGTAAATGGGTAACAAGGACCACCAAAACAACTGAGTTCTTTATTTCTTTTTTTTTTTAAAGGGGGGGGGGGGGTTCTTGCTTTCTAGATCTAGTGATAACTACATGTATACTTTGTATATGATTTGTAGAATTACACATGCTGTATACATATGCATGCTTCTTCTGAGACTAAATTACATGTGCATGTTACAGAACACATAATAGTCTAACATTCAGCTCAATGACTTCTAATTGAACTTTTCATTGATTTTACATTCGCGAAGATTTGATTGGGGAAAAAGCATTAAACGATAGGGAAGAAATGTATACGTATCTTTAACATATATAGAAAATTGTATTACCGTAACGATTGTTTTCATTAAGTTTACCTTTTTGGGTTTTTTTTGGGGGGGGATTGTTTGTTTTGTTTGTTTGGTTTTGTTTCACTTTTCATCATTCCTGATTGATTGCCCATTTCTTATGCACATGATCAAAACTACATTCCCGGAAATTAAATATATTGCAGTAATTAAATCTTCATGCACCATGGGACATAGGTTACTAAAAAGTACGTTTTTAAGTATATGGACATTCTTGTGTTTCTTTCTTTGAATACATTTTTTTTCGAAACTTTTTATATGTAAAATTGAGTAGTTGGGTTGAAAAAATTGAATATGAGGTACATACATACGTGTACAATACATGTAAGAAATGATAAAAGAAAAACATCATACATTTAGCTTTATAAAATTCAATAAAAATAATAATTGTTTCAAACATAGTTTAACTTTGAGTCAGATTGTTACCTTCACCTCATGCATCTATATAGATACACAGATTTCGACAATGGCGTATAGAGAAAAATGTTGTTGTTGATATTGTGGGGTTTTTTTTTTTTTTTTTTTTTTTTTTTGTTAAATCATCCTGATGCAGATTTATCTGTTTGCACTAGTCATTGAGATTTCAGATGCTGTGTTGCAACCACTATTGAAATAACGACCATTATTGAAATAATTATATCAATAGTGGTTGAGAGTGCATTTCAATAGCAAACATAGTTAGTAATCACTATTGATATACGACCACCATTGAAATAATTATATCAATAGTGGCTTAGAGTGCATTTCAATAACAAACATAGTAACCACTATTGAAATACAACCACTACTGAAATAATTATATCAATAGTGGTTGAGAGTTCATTTTAATAGCAAACATAGGTAATAACCACTATTGATATACGACCACTTTTGAAAACAATTATTTCAATGGTGGGTGAGAGTGCATTTCAATAAAAAACATAAATAGTAACCACTATTGAAATACGACCACTATTGAAAAAATTATTTCAATAGTGGGTGAGAGTGCATTTGAATATAATAACCATAGGTTTCAACCACTATTGAAATATGAGCACTACTGAAATAATTATTTAATAGTGGGTGAGAGTGCATTTCAATATGATAACCATAGGTTTCAACCACTATTGAAATACTACCAGTATTGAAAGAAAAGTTTCACCGCGTCAGCAACTTTTGAAATAATTATTTCAATATATATTGGATTCATTGTTCAAAGCATTATTGAAATCAATAATCTAATCTATATTGAAATCTTGTGAACATTATTTCAATTGTGGTTGCAACTTGCAACCTATGCTTATTATTGAAATGAATCTCACCCATCATTGAAATACTTATTTCAATATTGGTCGTATTTCAATAGTGGTTACTATCTATGTTTCTTGTTGAAATGCACTCTCAACCATTATTGAAATAATTTTTTCAATAGTGGTCGTATTTCAATAGTGGTTATAACCTATGTTTGTTATTGAAATGCACTCTCATCCACTATTGATATAATTATTTCAATAGTGGTTGTATTTCAATAGTGGTTATTACGTATGTTTGTTATTGAAATGCACTCTCAACCACTATTGATATAATTATTTCAATAGTGGTTGTATTTCAATAGTGGTTATTACGTATGTTTGTTAATGAAATGCACTTTCAACCACTATTGACATAATTATTTCAATAGTGGTCGTTATTTCAATAGTGGTTGCAACAATGCTGTATATCAGCAGCAACAGAAAAGTTGACAGGTACAAAAAAATAAAATTCAAAAGACCAAAAAGATATTTTTTTTGTGAAATAATTTTATTTTTCAGAGCAATTAGTTGTACCAGGTGAGACTACGGCATCTAGCAGTACCGTATATCAGAACTTCTATCCCTCCCGAACAGTGGACGGGGATTTCAGTCAAGCCATTGGCAGCTGTTCACACACCGGTACTGACCCGGCAATAAGAGAAGCCTGGTTACGTGTTGATTTGGGTTCTGTATACAGCCTGAAGTTTGTCAAGTTATGGTACAGAAATGATAGTGAGTGCTTTTACACAAAGCTTTGTGGGAATCAGTATGCATTGATTAATTATTACATGACATTGTAATTATCACATTGTATTATGGTTTTATTAATTTTGGCTATCGAAAAATCAGACTAAAACCTATGAGAAAAAATCTGAAAACTTAATGAATTACACCAACTTAAAGGGACGTGGATACAGTTTCAGCTAAAAATTTTCAAATTTATTTTTTCCATTTTTACAAATTTACCTATGATTTTTCTAATGATCATTAAAACTTTGAACGTCAATTGTCCAGATATAAGACAGATTAAGAGCTCCAAACCTTTATGCTTTGCTGAATTTCATTTTGTTACATTATACTTTCATGTAAATCACTTGAATCTGATTGGTCGAGAAAGATTTGTTAAAAACACTATATTACCCGCTGCGCCTCGGTTGACAATGGTTTTCTTGGGATGAAAATTTTCAATATTTATATGATATATCTGATATTTTCTATATGTAAACAAAAACATTTTTGGCACGAGCCTCGTTTACATAATGAAGACCTTTAAGTTTTGTATCTCCTTTTTTAATCAACAAATAATGTTCACATTTTTGCTGATCATTAGATAATACCTTAGTTAGGAATTTTTAGCATTAAAATTGGTTCCCCGATCGCAACTGCCTCAAAATCCTGACTCAATTTTTTTTATCTCCATGAAACAATTATTTTTTATATTTATCCCGATTTTTTTTTTTTTTTGAAAAGTCAGCAATGATGTTGAGATTTTCTGAGTTAAAAGAAAACTGCCCACCTTCCTATCAACCCAACTTTTTAGTCATACTAAGTGGGGCGAGGGCAAACAGTCTGTATGTCATTGTAAAAGTATATCTTTATTTAGGGGGATCGGTCTCTCTCAGCACTATACGTTTACGTGGGTACACAATAAAGTTATCCAACAGTACTCAATTGTCGGATGCTGAAACATGCTATAGCGACACCGGAAATGACGCTCTACCAACTATTTTGACCAATGACTGCGAAGGAACTTCCCGCTTTGTTTGGTTCCACACAACAAGTGTTCCAGATTCACGTGACACTGTCCCCATGCTAGAAATATGTGAAGTTCAAATATTTGGTAAGACGATTATTTAGCGCGTTGAATAATGATTCGAAATTTATTATTTTTCTAGGAACTGCATGAAATGATTTTTGTATACTGCATTGATTTTATTCATTTTTTATCTGAATCCCAAACTAAAGAATTTTTTGAAATTTGCCACGAATAAGTATTTTTAATTAATTTTCAGGATGTCAAACTGGACTCTATGGAGAGAACTGTTCATTGACCTGTGACCATTGTATGAATCCCTCGTCATGTGATATTGACTCGGGCGAATGTGACACTTTCGGGTGCGCACATACTGGGCTTTTACCCACCTCCTGCAGAGGTTAGATGAATTTAGTTTGGTATTTTATTACACTGGCAGCTTCTTTAATTTTGAATTTAGTAACAAATAGAGTAACCTTACTACAAAAAAATATAATATTTTTAAAATATTCTAAAATTTTCTCTGATGTTCACATTTTTCGCCATTTCACGTAAAAGGTACAAAAATGTTACACTGTATTTAACAAAACTTAATTTACCCGATTTTACCTATTTATTATAATTTTATTAAAAAGCAAGTCCATAATTTATATTTCTTTATCCATTTCATTTCATTTATTTTTTGGTAGCAACCGGTATTAATAAATTATGAAGTCTGTTGATTTTAAAAGCGTAATGCATTTGATATATGTACATACTGTTATAGTGATGAAACTATATGTAATATAATATCTCATTCAGAATGTATCCCTGGATATTTTGGGGGAAACTGTTCATCCTTTTGTCATGCCAACTGCTATAATGTGAGCTGTGACCAATCTACAGGACAATGTAACAATGGGTGCAAGCCAGGATTTGACGGACTGTATTGTAATCAGAGTGAGTAGGACTACTTACTGCAAATTATATAATTAATTTCATGGATTTGCAAGGGATTTGACCATACATGCTAGTTTTTTTTTTCACCCTTAATGTGGTTGGTGTGTAGCGCATTACATTTCCTCCCATTTCCCCGATTTGTATTGCATATCGTCAGTACGATAATGTGATATACAAAGGATAAAACATTGTCATTCCGTTAACTGGAGCATTACTGAAAGTCTACTGAAACGTGACTGAATGTTTTCTGAAACGTGACTGAATGTTAACTGATACATAAGATGACTGAATGTTTTCTGAAACATGACTGAATGTTTTCAGAAACGTGACTGAATGTTAACTGAATCGTGATTGAATGTTTTCTGAAACCTGACCGAATGTTGACTTTACTGAAAATTGACTGAATGTATGAAGTGTGATTAATTGTCAGAACTCTGCCTTTCAGTGAATTTTTCAGACCATTCAATGACTACCCAGTTGTTTGAAAGATGCAGTTTCATCCTGTATCGATTATTGTCCCCCGCTTTCGCGAAAGCGAGGGGACATTAAATCTCATTCGTCTGTCCGTCAGTCTGTCCGTCTGTCAGTCTGTCAGTCTGTCCGTCACAAAAACTTTAACCTTGCCTATAACTTCTGATTTAGTGGAGCTATGACTTTCATATTTCACATGTGTATTCCTTGTGACAAGACCTTTCTTTGGGTACCACCAAATTTGACCTTTTGACCTTGACCTTTGAGTTTGACCCACTTTTACACAAAAATTCCAAACTTTTACTTTGGCCATAACTTTTGAATAGTAGGTACTAGGACTTTCATATTTCACAAATATATTGTTTGTGGCAAGACCTTTCATTGGATAACTACAACCTTGACCCTTTGACCTTGACCTTGGAGATTTACGTACTTATGAAAAAACTGTAACCTTGACCATAACTTTTGAACGGTGAGGACTAAGGCTTTCGTACTTCACATATGTAATCCTTGTGAGAACACATTTCATTGGATACCAATAACTTTTACCCTTTGACCTTGACCCTGGAGTTTTAACTACTTTTTAAAAACTTTAACCTTGGTCACAACTTTTTAACAGTAGATACTAACACTTTTATATTTCACATATGTATTTCTTATGGCAAGACATTTCATTGGATACCAACAACCTTGACCTTTTGACTTTGACCTTGAGATTTACGTACTTATGAAAAAAATTTAACCTTGACCATAACTTCCTAACAGTAAGGGCTAGGGCTTTGATACTTCACATATATAATCCTTGTGAGAAAACCTTTCATTGGATATCAACAACTTCGACCCTTTGATCTTGACCTTGGAGTTGACCTACTTTTAAAAAACTTTTTACTTTGGCCATAACTTTTTAACGGTCAGGATTAGGGTTTTAATCCATAAAAAAATCAACTTCAATGTTACTTTCTAAATAAATGACATATGGTAGGATGTTCATATTTTCACACAATATGTCATAAAAAATAACATCTCACCCACAAAGAAACCGAAAGCGGGGGACCACAATTCTTTGAATTTGCTTGTTTGTTTTAAAAAGAACAGTATTACTAGTATACCCCACGACATTATGAGAGAGACCAAAGAGGGATTTCTAAAGGAAATTCGATATTATCCTTAAATACAGCAATGTTTTCTGACAATTCTATCAAGCAAAACAATATCGCATTCCGTGTCATCTTTGGATGACCTTTATTGTTCATTAAATATGTTTATAGCTGAAGAAAAACAATCTATGCATCAATTAAATTATTTCACCTTCAATTATCTTATCCCTTCACAATTAAGCTTGTCGAGGCGGAAAGTATGGGGCCGGATGTCAAGAGGATTGTGGGAAGTGTCACGATGCCTCTCCTTGTCATCATTTAACTGGATACTGTAACCTTGGTTGTGAGAAGGGATACAGAGGTTCGCTTTGTAAACAAAGTAAGTCTTTTTTTCCAGACGCATGGATTTTGTTTTCAATTCTCAATTTACGTTGTATTCACAAATAAAGTAAATAGGATATGGCAGCAGACAAAGCCAATTTTAGCCCTCTTCCTAATTAACACATGAAATTACGAGTCCTTGATATTGTATAATGAGAATTAATGAATATTTCCTTTTTTCATGAATCTTTTTATTCGAACCATGCTAATCCTTCTTTGTGTGCAAATCATGTTTTTCGTAATTTTAGATAGCCTTTGTTATTGTGTATTATATTTTTCACCAAATAAGCCTGTGACCCTGGCAAGTTTGGAGTAAACTGCACTAGTATATGTAGTGCCCACTGTCAGCCCGTTTCGTCGTGTGCTTTCAAGGATGGAAGTTGTACATGTGAGGAGGGATGGAGAGGGAATAAATGTGATACACCTGGTAAGTAGTCATTTAAAGTATGCCAAGGTGCGTAAAAATATTCCTATTTAAAACTAGGCTTTAGATAAATATTTCTTCAAAGTATTCATGTTGCATAATGATTATCGAATATTTCTGCAAAAATGTCGCTTCAATAAACTCGTTTAAAATATTTAAATCACACTAGCTGACTCCCTGTACGAAATGTTCCGCCTGGAATATAGGGGGAATTGAGGCGTACTTGGAGAGGCGTCAATTTGTCTCTCTACATATATGGTGATACACAGGTTCCGGGCGTAACTTAGGCGGAAACCAAGCGTAAATGGGCAGGAATTTGAGGCGAAAAATGCAAATGAGCTACGCCCGGAAAAATAAATGACGCCCGTAAAAAAATTACGCCTGGAAACTAAAATGACGCCTGGAATAGAATTACGCCTGGAATGTCCTTATTATTATATAATACTATGTGACCTAAAAACCTATATATTTACCATGTTAACAAAGAAAAACATTCAGATTATGATTTACAATGTTAAAGCTAAAAATTTTGCTTTTTGAACTGTAAGAAAACATAATGACAGGTCATTAACATAATACATTAACAAGTATAGAAAAATAACATGAATTTTGTGTATTAGGGACACTAAAACACGACCACCATGATTGAGTGTGTATTTAGAATTAAACTTTTTTACAATACCTGTACATTTTATCACTTCAATAATTATATTGAAACATTTTAGTTTAACTGACTGAATACAATTCTTCATTTACTCAGCAGTTTACAGTTATAGATTCTCACTGCATCCTCTATCAGACTGATATTTCTCAGAATGTGTTCAAGGACAAACTCAAATATCTAAAGTAAATTTAGGGTCAACCAGTTATAACTATCATTGTCATAATCATAATCAAATTTACTCAAATAGGTACTAGATATTCATGATCACACCTACCAGCAGACACTGTGTCATCCTCAAGAAGTGTAAAAGCCTTAACATTGAGATATCTGCATTTCCTGTTTCACTCACACTAAACTCCCTCCTTCATGATCAAATTCAAACTTAACCTCCTATCTGAAATGACCCTTAATTGATAATTAAATTGACCAATCAGAGGCTTTTACCTCTCCTGAAAGTTCCAGGCGTAATTTTTGTTTCTATTTTCCTGCCATTTTACACCCGGAAAATCTGAACTTGCCAATTGACGCCCGGAAATTACAAATGACGCCTGTAAGACGTCTCTTCTACTGAGGCGTAACTCTTTGAAAATTCCGTCTCCGCCTCAAGTACGCCCGGAATTTGCCAATTCCTAATCAATTCCACCCAAATTCCAGGCAGAATCCGCCTTTAAAATTCATACAGGCCAAAACAACTACAAGAAGACATGGTGAATGATTTCAGTATACATGTAACTCTTAAACTTGAACTTTGGAAAATGTTCGAATCATATGCCTGCACTTTATTTCTTTTGATTATTTTAAAAACATATAAAATAAAAATTATTTATCATTATTTTTTCAGAAAAATAAAGGAATCGAATGCGTAAAGATTATATTGACAATGCAATGTTTGAAAAATCTATTTTTTCACGAACTTTTAGAATTCAGTAATGGGAAATCGATGCCACCTGTTATCACGTGACAAGAAGTTTTTTTTTTTAACCTGGATTCAATTTTAATTTGATTTCTAGCCTGTGAAGATGGCTGGTTTGGGTACGACTGTGCTAACCAATGTAGCAGGTACTGTTACAACAATACTATTTGCGACAAGGAAACCGGAAACTGTCCCAGTGGATGTATTGTGGGATATGTTCCTCCAGCCTGCCTTCAAAGTGAGTGAATTAGAAGCTGTGGACAAAAAGTGAAATTTAGCTATGAAAACTATTGCTTCAAGTAGTAATAGTGTTTTAAATTAATTTTTGAACACAACTTTCTTTTTTCTAATGCTTCTTTCCTTCTTTTTTCAAAATTATATTTTCAATTTTAAAAATAAAAATCCTGAATGTCTTCTATGAAATCTGGTATTTTTGGACTCAGTATCTAATTTTTAATTCAAAAGTTTGAAATTTATAATGTGTGGTATGCAACGTGATATTTTGGACAATCCAGAGATCATCTTTAACATAAGTGTCAATTTATCTCCACATTTTGATAGATGCTTACAGTATCAATGGTAATGATGGAAGTTCTTTACACGTGATGTCCTTGGGAGCTGGGATAGCTATGGGAATCGGAATATGTTTCTTGATTTTTGTTTTCGTTTTCATATTGAAGGGACTTATAAGGTAAAGAGCATAAAAATTACCTGAACCTAGTGAAAAATATTGTGCATTTTGAAGATCTTTCTATAATTTTTACTAGTACAATCATCATCACAAAAATTGTTTATATAATTATGATAATATTATTATTATTATAGGATAACAGTATTATAATTAATGCAGTTGCCTTCAATTTTTTCCCTATTTTTTCCCTCAGAAAACAGAGGACTAATGAAACACAAAAACCTGATTATGATAATGAAGACAGTAAGAACAGTAAATTTCCGACAGGTATTCCTAAGGAAGAGAAATGTGACAGGAACTACCCTCAGTATCAGAACAACAGTTATGTTGATCTGATGGATGATCCTGATGGAATTGTGTACGAAGTTATTTCACAATAGTCAACAATCAAGTTTCTTAGTGTTTACGACTCGTTTTTTTGTGTGTGTTTATAATATTATCTTAATTAATTATATAAATATGTGTATTGATTGGATTAGTTTATTTTGATATTTATCCAAAAATAATTTGAATACTCTTGTTTTTCTTTATTGTATCAAAATCATTCTGTAGCAATAATATAATTCTTTTAAGATACAATAATATTTAATGAACTCATTTTGTGACACCACTCTATCCTGTTTTGACCTTGATTAGATATAAGGGTGTGCATTTAATATTTGAAGTTCCTTGAATTTTGATGAGGACAATTATTGCCCTTTTGTTTTTGAGATTTTCAAATGACTCCAACTATTTTTTTTTATACCTTTGGGGAAAAAAACAAAACATAGTAAATTAAGTCCAGACTTTTGGAAATCATTGAGAGATGCTAATTAAATAAAATTGAAATTCGAAAATTTTCCTACCTTGTCAATAGTAGATGCAAAATAGTTTTGTTAATAATTGTCTGTACATTAAATATTCTGAAGATTTTCATACTTATTGCAAGACAATTGTTTACATACTGAATTGCCTTTAGCACGATTAGCACGATCTGCAAGCTCACGGGGCACCTGACCGGTGTACAGGGGAGTTTTACTTTTTAATGACACCTTATCCCCCCCCCCCCATTTCAATTGTAAAATAAATGGATTTTGAGCTTGATTACTTTCTGATATCTTAATATTTCTTTCCTACTTATAATTAATAAAATTTGATCAATTTTGATTTAGTTGAAAACGTATCAAGGTTATATTACATGCACCTTTAATGATAAATTGGAAAATAGAGATAAATGGAAACTCCGAGTCCCTAAAAAATGCTTCAGATCTGACCTACATTATCCAGATGAATGACCAGGTTGCAGCCACATGCCCTATAAAGACCAGACTTACATTGTTGTCATTTGATGTATCTAGAGATTTAGTTTCTAATTTTAGCAGTTTTTAGTTATAAGATAGTTATATTAGTTATATTATATTTTTTTCCGAATTTTGTTTGTGCTTGAGGTACATATTTGTTTGTTTGTTGTATTGAACGTCCCTCACGAGAGTCTTTACTTCATATTTAGACGCCAACACTTGCCGAACTGCAAATATTTTACGTGCCAGCACCTACTGGACACGGGACCTCGGTCAGCAACTCACTCTGTTCTCTAAAGCAGGGGATGTAATCAATGTGCCATGGGGGCACATAATTAGTTATCACCAGTACATACATGTGTGTGCTCACAAGAAAGTTTGTAAACATATTTTCCTTGAATATTTCATATACATGTGCAATGTATATGTATTACAAAAAAATAAGTTCTTGAAATTTATACATTTTAATTTTAATAGAAAAAATATATACATGTATATTTACAATTCTTTGGTCATGTTGATTACAAAAACAGCAAAATATACATATATAAAATAGAGGGTTCTCCAAAAAGTTCCTGGACAATGATGTGTATATCAAAATATTTCTCATAAAAAAATTAAATCGGAAAGATTTAATTTTTATTGATGGAACTTTATATTTTTGTAAAAATCGGGGTCTTTAAAGGTCGCGGATAGTGAGCATGGACCAGTCTGACGTTTAGCTAATTTCCAGTTATCAGTATAAGCAATTCGTATACAAAGCATGCACCGTTGAAAAATCATGTATGCCTATCTCAAATTTATAAACTAAATATATTTTGATACATGTTACTTTGAGTGGTTTGAAAAAAAATAGTTTGTCTCCGACGTCGATTCAACGGTATTAAAACATAATTTTTTGATCGGACGCTGTCCCGTTCGGATGGCCGACGTCGCTTTTTCTGTCGAGTTTCGACACCTATTTGTTAGGGTTTTCGTACAGTATTTTCACTGTCTATAGAGTAACTGATACTTAAGATATCAAAAAATCATTATAGCCTCTTTATTACTGTTACATATAATTTTTATGAAGCTTGGACTTGTTTTATACAAAAAATAATCATTTTAATCCAAACACTTTTTTTCAAAGTTTATAGCATTTTAACGTTGGTCCGTGCTCATAATCTGCGATATTTAATGAACCCGATTTTTTTAAAAATAAAGTTACATCAATAAAAATGAAATATTTCTAAGTTTTTCATAAGAAATATTTTGATAAATGCAAAATATACATATAGACCCATTAATTTTAACAAAAAACGCCATTGACCACAAACTTTTTGGACAACCCTCGTATTTCCAAATTACACAATTATAAAAAAAATATATACAAATTGTCACATAGGAACTAACTTTGCAAGTTTTTTTTAAAAAAAAAAAATCAAAATGGATTTCACAAGGTTCTCAAAATTATTCGAAATAAATGATAGTTTCTAGAGACTGACTCTGATTCAATTATAAAAAAAACAAAACATGATTTGGATTAGACACAAATTTAACCAATAAAATTGCCCTTTCCAACTCTAAGAAAATGAAGCATATTTATTCCTTGGGTGTATATTTACAACCAACGAATGTAAAATGAAAATGTTTCCTATATACTGCCATATTGAATTCTAAAGGCAATTGTAAATTCATGTGGAGAAGATTCCAAAGCAAGGCAACCTGAGATCACTTTAATGTTCTTTGTCTAATGCAAAGAAAGAGGTACCCTAAAGGGGAAAAGTATGCAGCCGCCACATGATCCTTATACACTGTTAATTTATGCATAATAATACCGAGTTTATATTTTGTAACTGATACTATAAAATATCAGAAATGCTGCCTTAACATTAAGAAACTACGTATACAATTTAAAAGAAAACATAATAAATTTCTATAATAGATGTTGTATATTTAATTACACATAAAACACATCTGCTCATTAACATCTATACATTTCCATCTCAATCAAGAGGGAAAAAAATAAAATAAGCAATTATGATAAACAACAAATACAAGTGTAAAAAATCAAAAACTATACAACTATAAATAAAGCTAAAACAGGAACCATATAAATATGTATGTATCACAGCCATTCTTCAGTCATAAAAACCAAAATGATTTACAACATCAACAACTTGCAGTATGTATGTAACTTAATTAAGGCCAAATCTACTCCAGTCCAGCATACCTTGCAGAGAAGTTTTAAAGTCGAGCTGGACTCATTTAATGTACATAAATTTAACATTATAACACGTACAGTAAACCAGAAGTCTCTGTCGAGACTGAAGCTCTACTGGTTTGTACTTATAGCAAAGGAAGAGAAAAGTACTTAAGCAGTTGGAAATTGAAACTTTTCAACAGAAATAAATAGAATAATGATCCTTGATTAAGTCCCTTTATGTTCTTAGTGCAGTCTACTTGCATGCCACATTTATATTATAATCAGACTAAAATTGTATTTGGAGTAGCATTTTGAAAGAATTTCACAGAAATTTCTATTTTTAGTAACCACGGCAACACCGTTCGTCGAAATCAAAAACCGATACACAGAATTATGTATCTTATTGTAGTCTACTTGTGTGCCTAGTTATATTGAAATCAGACTAAAACTGTAGGAGGAGTAGCATTTTGAAAGAATTTCACAGAAATTTCTTTTTTTAGTAACCACGGCAGCACCGTTCATCGAAATCAAAAACCGATATATAGAATTATGTATCTTAGTGTAGTCTACTTGTGTGCCAAGTTATATTGAAATCAGACTAAAACTGTAGGAGGAGTAGCATTTTGAAAGAATTTCACAGAAATTTCTATTTTTAGTAACCACGGCAACACCGTTCATCGAAATCAAAAACCGATAAACAGAATTATGTATCTTAGTGTAGTCTACTTGTGTGCCAAGTTATATTGAAATCAGACCAAAAGTGTAGGAGGAGTAGCATTTTGAAAAATTGTTTACAGACAGACAGACGGACAGACAGACGCATTACTATCGCATAAGCTCTTCTGGTCTCTGACCAGTAGAGCTAAAAATTGAGAAGGTAATTTGATCTTCAGGCTCTGAAAATCGGGCATGGGGTACTTGAAAATACTAACAAAAATGAATTATCTCAATAATATGCTTATACCCATAGTAATTCATTAATTACATTCTTGCATATCAGTTAGTGTATAAAAGCAGTTGCTATTATTGGCAAACAACATATAAAACTTTTAATTTAATTTCATTTCATGCTTATAAACATAAGTATCTAAGGCCTAATTAAAGGAAATACTTCTTTTATAAAATTTCTAACTTCATTTATTTCATGCTAATAGACATAAGATTTAATAAAAGGAAATACTATATTTTAGAGATTTATCTGTTTTTGTACCTCTATGGGTTAAACATATTATCTTTCAACAAGACTATTTATAAGACTTCAATAAACCTCTAATCACATTTAGATACATAAAATGAAGGTTGTTGCACAAAAAATTAGTTTTAAACTTAATTTTGAACTTATGTTTTACATTAAGTAAATGAAATAAATTTATGAGTTATCCATACTGGCTTAGGAGCAGATAATTCCTTATCAAATATTGCACATTTACTGTCTAAATCATGTACACAATGTAAATGATGAGTAAGTAAGCTGTTTTACACATTTTCAAACTTGCTTAAGCAAGAACAAAAGTTTGGAATTACTATACCATCGACAAACTAAATTCAATGAACAGTTTTTTTATAAAACAAAATCATGTATATCAATGATACAATCTGATAATGCTTTTCACAACCTCTTCCTGGTGAATATACAAGTGTTTTGAAAAAAAAGATTATATTTGTCATCAGGATTAGTACGTATCAACATTTTCCAAACATTATTTCTACAAAACATTTTGCTTCCTTTTTTGATTGACTTTAATAGATTTTATCAAACTGAATGGGGTACTGATCATGAAAGGTCTGGAAAGTCTAATGAATACCAGATCCCGGCCTTTCAGTGGATAAATAGTCAGCTTTCAGTTTGCTGAATAGAATTTTCATCCTTCTTTGCAAGCAAAATGTTATAAATCAAAGTTAAGTAAAAATCTAATCTAAAATAAAATATATTTTCTAAGGTATTCAATGTACAATAAAGGGATTTTGAACAACTGTAAATAATTTAAAACTAGTCAAAACACATATCCAGATAATGGTTTAAGTGAAATGAACCAAAATTACAAAACCGATAGCATGTATTACTAGACGGTCATTTTGCACTTTTAAAGTTTTTATAGAGTTTTCTGCCCTAGATGAAAGGAAAGAAAATTCACACATTTTTTGTAGTAAATAATTCATTTGATTTCATACTATAATAAAGGGGAGTTTAAGCATATTTTCACCAAGAGATTTCTTTGAAATTCAAATTACTCTTTACAAAATAGATGTGCCGCCCAAAGACTTCAATGTAAAATTCAAGGTGCAATTAATTGGACAATAATCGAAATTTTGTAAATTTCTTTGGTTGAGCATTTTTATTTGATAACATCTTCATTATGTTACCATGATTAAAGATGTCAGGTATTTATCAGGTACAAAATATGGTCATTATACCTTGAATACCTGAAATCCCATCTAAAAATAACTGACCCAGAAAATAAACAACACCCAAAAATAAATAATAAATAGTGGTTCTAGAAAATAAACCTGTTATCTACATATCCTTAGACCAGGCAGGACTTGGAAAGGGAAACTTAATTTACTTTTAATAACCTACATCCTAACCTATCAAAAAGTGCTCACTCAGCACATGCTAAAAGAAACCTATAATGCCGTGTACCTTGAGGTTGGCATCAAATCAGAGATAATGTGCCATGAGGCTTATCCCTAACCAAGTGAAGTAAACTGCTCGAACACGGGTTTAAATACCCTAGCTAGGCCCAAAATAAAAGCCAATGACTATCAAAGATCCTAAAGCTAAGTTAACCAATCAGAACGCAGCTATCAAAAGTACTACGGAAAGACTGCCAACATGGATGACACTTCCTGTTTAAACATAGGTAATCAGAGATTACAGAGCTCACCTCAACAAATGTTGTCTTTAAGTAAGGCTAAGTCACACAATTAACCAACAAAAAGTGTACATTCCAAAAATGAAAATATTTAATCAATTTTGATCTGATACTTTGAAATAGACCTACATAAAAAAATTGAAACTAATTCTTCTTCATGAAAATGTAATCAAAATCCAGCATCTGAAGCAAATTTGAGAGTTTTCATATCTTGATGCAACATTTGTGCAAGTCTGGTTTATACAATGTTATATAAGCCTTATAGTTTTTTGGTAATAGACCTGCACCCATAACTTTTACCTGGTCTATTATCTGAAAAATGTATGTCGAATTCAGCATCCGAAGCAAGTCCATTAGTGTGCATCCTAAGATGTATCGTCCATGCAAGTTTGCTCATTATAGGGCTCATAGTTAACACGCATCAAAAACTAACATTTTCACTCATCCACAAAAAATAGGTCAGATTCAGCATCCGAAGCAAGCCTGGTAGTATGCATCCTTAGATTTATCGTCCATGCAAGTTTGGTCAACATAGGGCTTATAGTTACTTGGAAATGAAACCTGCACCAAAAACTTTAACCTGTTCACTCAACCGGAAAATGTAGGTCAGATTCAGCATCTGAAGCAAGCCTGGTAGTATGCATTCTTAGATGTATCATCCATGCAAGTTTGGTCAACATAGGGCTTATAGTTACTTGGAAATGAAACCTGCACCAAAAACTTTAACCTGTTCACTCAACCGGAAAATGTAGGTCAGATTCAGCATCCGAAGCAAGCCCGGTAGTATGCATCCTTATATGTATCATCCATGCAAGTTTGGTTAACATAGGGCTTATACGCATGTGAGTTAAGGCTACATATAGAGGTTTCTTTGCAAAATATTAATTAAATTCCATAATTGCTCTACTTACCACACAGAAAATATTAAGACTTGTTTTCTAATACATTCTTGGTACCCATGACATGTGATTGCCAGTGCACATTATGACGTCATATTATGACGTCATCGACTTTGTAAGGAAATCAGCAAAATCGCATCTGTGCAAGGACATACCTTACTTTATTTTACAGAAAAGGTATAAAAGACGCAGGATATTCCAAGGATTTAAGATATTACTGCACAAATGTCAGCACTACAATTGTTTTGTTACTATTCGTGCAGTTTTAAGTTTGAACAGGGTAAAAATTCACAGTCCAGTGTAAGTTTCTTAAAATTTTTATCGATTGAGAAAGTGCATAGGATTTGTGCAGCAATTTTAATAATTTTAAGAATATTCTCCTTAATATTATACATTGTTTATTTTAAATTAGATAGGATATGCCCTTGTGCCGAGGTGATTTTGTTGATGTGATTTATTACCTTGAATGGGAGAGAAAAATGACGTCATAATATGACGTCATAATGTGCACTTGTATTAATAATCTGTGGGTACTAAGTATGTATAAGAGAATCAAATTAAACTTTTTCTGTACATAAAATATACAACTTATGAATTTTTATTTGCTCATTTGCATAGAAATTTCCATATTTAGCCTTAACTCACTTGCGTAGTTACTTGGAAATGAAACCTACACCAAAAACTTTAACCTGTTCACTCAACCACAAAATGTAGGTCAGATTCAGCATCCGAAGCAAGCCCGGTAGTATGCATCCTTATATGTATCATCCATGCAAGTTTGGTTAACATAGGTCTTATAGTTACTTGGAAATGAAACCTGACCAAAAACTTTAACCTGTTCACTCAACCGGAAAATGTAGGTCAGATTCAGCATCCGAAGCAAGCCCGGAAGTATGCATCCTTAGATGTACCATCCATGCAAGTTTGGTCAACATAGGGCTTATAGTTACTTGGAAATGAAACCTTCACCAAAAACTGCACCAAAAATGTTAACCTGCTCCAAAAACATTAACCTGGTCATTCCTTTGCTGAAATTGCAGCATCTGAAACTTTGAATGGTACAATGAAACACACTAGAACCATCTTCCATGCATGTCTAATCAATATAGGACATAGAAGTACTTAAAAAGAAAACTGCTCCAAAAAACTTAACCTGGGACGCCAACGCCGACACCGACACCGACGCCGACGCCGAGGGTATTACATAAGCTCCCCCAACTTCGTTGAGGTGAGCTAAAAAGTAAAACATGTGGAATATCAACTCATGTCCTAACTTATAAAAGACTTATAATAAAGGGGTTTTATCTAAGTAACAACTGAAAACAAAAGGTAAATAGAATTATCAGACTGAAATACCAGCAAATACTTGTAAATATTGAATTACGAAACGATGGCTATGAAATGAAAATCTAAACCACTACACTTGTTCAAATCTGATAGTGAATAGAATTTTTCATTAATTAATAAAAAGATTCTTTCAATTATACATGTTACTACCATTTACAGTGACTACTTGAGCCTCTTTACAGGCTTTTCATGATCAGATCATCCAGCTTTATGCCACGTTCTTCCATAAGCCTTTTAATCCTCTCAATGTTGTCGGCTTGCTGCTGGATGGTGTCGGCTTGCTGCTGGATGGTGCTGGCTTGCTGCTCAATGGTGTCAGCTTGCTGCTGGATGGTAGAATTCTTCTCCTTATTGGCTTCAGCTTGCTGTAGGATGGTGTGATTCTTCACCTGAATAATGGCAGCTTGCTGTTTGATGGTGTCATCCTTCTGCTGAATGGCAATAGCTTGCTGTTGAATGGTATTTTTCACACATTTCGTTTCTTTTCTGGTTAAAAATTTCAAAACTGCTAGTTCTCCAACAGCTGCATTCCTTGTTTTAGCAAAGACGTCTCTGCTGTATGAGATTTCTTTGTCTTTTTCATCCATTTCCTTCCAAAGCTCCACTGTAATACCAAAAAGATTCAAAAAACTAAAATTTATTCTTCATTTTTTTAATTGTCATGATCTTCAGATTTCAAATACTAAACATGCTAAATGTGAGATGAACTATATATTAGGGATGTCAAAATTGTCAATTATTGATATTCGAAAATTCGATAGGAGTATTCGAATGTATTCGAATATTCGATCAAATAAATACATCTTGCATTATATATATGTGGTAGTTGTACTTAGTTTTATTTTATTTTAATTAATGCTATATATATTTTATTTCAGGAATTTCATTCATTCATTTATTCATTCATGCATTTACATAGCGCTGCGCATTATAACATTTTGTTTAAAATTATAAACATCCCTATTTAAACTAGTGCTAATTGTAACGGGGACCGTTACAGATGTTCCCCAAACGCTCCCCATGTCCCTTATCGTGCCTTATTCCTCTAAGACCTTTTTATAAATATGCTTAGTATCCCAGGATTTCATTTAAGAATATAAAAGTTACAATGATATCATCAACTATCAACGATATATTGTATAACGTTTTGCATGCGCGCACACGTACATGTACAGGGTGATCCAAAATATCTGATACCATTTCAAGTGATAGTAATTCTTTAAAATTTTATGAAATTCTTCATTTAAATATTTTAAATTTTAACATATGTTATAACATTTTATACAACACATGCCACAGATTTTATACACAATCTTTTAAATAATAATACAGTCCCAAAAATAATGGTGCTATTTCAACACATGCTCTACGTGACGTCCACTTTGTTCAATAACGAGTTCAAGTGTTTTCTTAAAGTTATTGATCAAATTTCTGGTTTAATTTTCCGAATTTCTCGGGTAATTTCTGATTTCAGTTCCTCCAGGGTGTTTGGCTTTGGATTATACACCTTGTCTTTTGAAAATCCCCACAGAAAAAAAAAATTTCTGTGGACTTACATCAGAAAAATGTGGTAGCCAAACACAGTTCGTCCTGAACGAAATCAGTTGGTTACTGAAAGGTTTTCTGTAAGCATCCAAGAACTTGTTATGATTTGTGTGGGGTTGCTCCATCTTGTTAGAAATATATCATAGGCACTGTACAAGGAAAAAGTTTAAGTAATGCCGTAAAGTTCTGTATACACTTCCATAACTGGGCATTGTTTCCTAGATTTTTCATAACACTTCTTACTGACTTTTGTGGCTTTTCTGTTATCAGTTCTTCAACAACAGCAACCAATTCAACAGTTCTGATTGTCAGGGGCATTCAAATGTTTTTCAAATGAACATCTTCTACTGATCCAGTCTTTTGTTATTTTTTCACTTACTTATTAACCTGCAGTTTTGTAAGCCTACTGCACAGTTGATAACATTTTCTCATAATACAAATCCATTTTAAGTGTGAATGTGTCTCAAAATAAAATTGGACCATATCTACAGCTCTCTGATTTGACATATCAATGCAAAATAAACAATAAAAGAATTAATAACGTCATATTGTCATGACAACGTCAACATTTTCCCATATTTTCATATTTATTAAAATGGTAGAATTAGCAGTTTAAAATGATGTATAAATAAAATATGTTGAACAATTATTAACAAAGATATTGAAAGTCAAAGTAGTATCAGATATTTTGGATCACCCTGTACATTCATATGCAAGATGATTATGGCATGTTGATAAAGCGATTAACATATATTTCTATCCCGCGAATCAAAGAAAAAATACATATATAAATTTACCATTTTTCAATCATATGTCATATTTTTAATATACCGATTCACATTTTATTTCTCTACTTCTTTTAACGTCGGGCTCAAAGTTGGTTTTATTCCGACGACAAGGCAGGGTTAAAGTCGACTAAGGGTATCACCCCAATACCTAACCAATCAAAATGAACTTATTCAATAGTAGTTCCATACATGGAAAAGGGATTTTCCTTTCTGTTCAGAATTTTTTTTAATATTTCCTCTCCGGACATTTTGACAACTCTGATACTGGTGCCTGGTAAATTTTATATACTTTGTAAATAAATATATAAAGGTTTTTTGACCGGAACTATTCATTTTTTCCAATGCATAGGAGGCTACTCTCTGGGTTTTACAAGAGATGTCTAAAAAGACATTCGTGTCAGCTAATGTGACCTATATTGTTTAACACATTCTTATTAATATTTTTTCATGAATGCAAATATCTGATTATTTTACGAAGGAGCGTACATGAATATTGATTTTTAATATACCGAAAATCGCTATTTCTGGATTGCGTAATTCTAAAAAAAAAAATCAAATAAATTTTAAAGATAAATTAAACAAAGGATGCTTGGTATCAAAATATTATTTCAAATCAGTAGAATTGAATGCTATTAACGACATCTGAATAAATAGGCTATGAAAGGCTTATATGCCAATTTTGGTCATCTGCACTTTAATTTTAAACACGACAGGATTTGTAATTTTTTTTCTGTATAAATTAATAATTTCTATATACTTTGGAAACTCAAATGAAATATTTCAATACACTTTCCTCGAGCTCTTTTCTGCAGTTTTCCTGAAATTTTACGTGGGTCCGAGGTGTTATTTGAGTTTAACAGTGATTCTCTACGTTGTCATTAATTTGATTTGTTTGTGTGTGTGTGTGGGGGGGGGGGGTATTTTTATTCTTAACCTATTTAACGTTGGAGTTGAATCTTGTATCTTATTCCAAGAACTTAAGATTGATTGTGACATTTGGATGAAAGGTCAAGGTCATTAAAAACCACCACCTCTTTAACTTCTAACCTGTCAACCGAAATAAACTCTGAAAGGTGTTTCTAGATATATGTACATGTACTTCATATTTCTTTTTACCCTTGGGTCAAGGACAAAAGTTAAGGTCGATTTCATGTTCATAGGTCAAGGTGATTTTGGTAAATAGCTAATATCAACATTTTATTCAGGTTACCAGTGACCTTGACCTAAGTTTCAAGGTCAAGGGTAAAAGATCTGCATGCTTCAGTATGTTACATGTCTTGATATTTAGAAGTTCTTAATTCTGCATGAACATCAAACACTCAAGTATACTGTCTTTTAATACATTGTGTGCGGTCGCATGTGCATGCACGTCCATGTATTTACTTTTGATAGTAGTATAATGTAGGCAATCATCATATCTATTCATATTTGAAATTTCACCCTGTATTATTGAGAACAAAGAAAGTTGTAGGCATTTAAAGTTTTAGCCAATCAGATTGCATCACACGTGCATGTGCGTGCGTTCATGATTATTCTTATATATCATGCTGTAGATCTTCATAGTGTAAGACTATGTTCAAAATTTCAAAGGATTTTGTCAGAAAACAAAATAGATATTAAGACTTTTAGTTTCAGCCAATCGCAGCGAAGGGCACCTGCATTCGCGTGAGATCTTGCTATTTTGACCATGTCATCATGTCTATACTACTATTATATCCTTATATTATGAGTTTCAAAGCATTTCATCCAATATTTAAAAAGTTACGGCTAAATCTATTATATTGGTCATTTCACGTGTTACACGTGCGCGCACATGCACGCACGTGCGCGCAAAATGACCTTCGTTCCGCACATCTACATAACATACCTAGTGACCCTAAAAAGGTTTCACCTAGATCAGATGAGTAGTTTACGAGAACACTCGCGGACAAAAAAGTACCGGAGAACAAATAAAAAATTCAGAAAAAGTAAAAACAATATGTTCCCAAACTTCGTTTGGGGAACATAATAATGGTTTAACCCAAAGACTATGGGTTAAGGTAAGATTTATGGAAGAGTCTATTTATAAATAAGGGTGTAGCCTATATTCATCCTTTCCATTCACGGGTCAGTTTGTATTGTATGGTCTGAGTTGTCCATTCAGGCGGGAAAACCTTTGTTTCAATCTATTCATAGCTACTTTCTAAGAAGGGTGTTGTCAGAGATCTGTTTTGTGTCTATTTTAAAATCTGATAATTTTGGAGTAAATTAAACACCCATAAACTGTCTGTCATCATGTAATTTACTGATTCTAAATCCTGATCAAGTGATAGATCACTCAGTTCCATACACTGGGTTGATTTCCATTGATTCCACTTATTTCCATTGATTTTCATTTATAATTCAACAACATCATCTCCATGGAATAAACGAATCCAACCCCGTACCGACTTGTTAATCTTAATTTCTACAAGAACCGGTTACATATAATTCATATCTTTACTCTCCGGTCAAGCAGTATAGGTTTTATGCCATTATTTTGGAATCAAAACTTATAAAGAGTTTGGTAATTGCACCACCATTATATTCTTTTAATTATCAAATATATGTCATTGAAGTGTATCCATCCAAAACGTAATGATTTTTTTTTTGAAATCTCAAAAGATTCTTTAGTATGTTCCAGATTAATTGGTCGTCTTACTAAAGTCTACATTGATAAGTTCTACAAATTTATACCAAGCAGAACAATTATCTCCTGAAGAAAAATTCAAAGAAATCTTTTTTTTGCTAATTAATTTCCTGATAATGATTTTTAAATGATATTTACATAAACATGAGATCCATGTGTTTACTGTAAAACTGTGTCCTTACAACAATACAAGATGACTTTAAGTATTGGACACTATTATACCACTAACATGAATTAAGTGAACAAATGAATAAATTACTTTAATAGATACACTCTTCACACCTTTAAAGTATATGCAATCCAAGAGGAGAGTCATTTAATTTTGTACAAACTTGATTCGATTTCTAATAAAACTTGCCAGATTTTTCTCTCTTTAAAATCCTTTTACATTTAAAAATGAATTTTTGAATCATAAATTTGTATTCAAATATCAACGCATCGAATGAATATTTGAATATTCAAATATTTGTTGACATCCCTACTATATACATGTATCATTGAGATGGTACTATCTCAAGGGGCCCTTCTTTCAGCAACGAACATGAAAATGTGAGGAAACTGAATGTTCCATACCCTTGATTGCCGGAAATTAACCATTTTGGAAGAAGCAGCTTTCTTCATAAATATGAACTAAGATCATTGGCATAATACCAAGGAGCAAAGGAAAAATTTTTCAAAGAATTCATGCATTTTCACTATATAACCATTAGAGCCATGCCCTAAGACAAGAAGCCCTGACCCAGGGGCCCTGAAATTCAAAAATCTCAAAGAGGCATCCTTCCTCCTCATAACTATGTACATAGTTCATTGATTTAATACCTAGGTGCAGAAAAGAAGATTTTTAAAGAATTTATGCATTTTCACTATATAATCAATAGAGCCCAACCCTAAAACCAGAACCCCCAACCCAGGGGCCATGAAATCCACAATTATGGAAGAGGCAGCCTTATTCAACATAACTATGTACCTGGTTAGTTTATTTAATACTCAGGAGCAGTGAAGAAGAAGATATTCAAAGAAATAATTCAGTTTTTATTATATAATCTATATAGCCCCACCCTGCCACTAGAACCCCTGACCCTGGGGCCATTAAATTCATAATTTTGGAATAGGCAGCCTTCAACATAAATATGCACTTGGTTAGTTTATTTAATGCCCACGAGGAGAGAAGAAGAATTTCAAAGACTTTATGCCTTTTCACTATATAATCTATATAGCCCTGCCCTAGCACTAGAACCCCTGACCCTGGGGCTATGAAATTCATGATTTTGGAAGAGGCAGTCATTTTCAACTCAACTAAGCACTTGGTAAGTTTATTTAATGCCCAGGAGCAGAAAAGAAAAATTTCAAAGAAATAATGCATTTTCACTTTATAATCTATAGCCCCGCCCTAGCACTAGAACCCCTGACCCTGGGGCCAAGAATTTCATAATTTTGGTAGAGGACTTGATACTGATTACAATCATACCAACAGTTTGACTGCTTGATGTCCAGGAGTAAAGATGATTTTTAAAGATTGCACTAATTTTAGTGGTTTTGGCCCCACCCCACCCCCAGGCTCCAGGGGGGCAAAGACCATGAAATTCACAATTTTTGTTCTTTTCACCCATAGATGCTATATGCCAAAATTGGTGAAAATTGGTTCAGTGGTTTCAGAGAAGAAGCTGAAAATGTTCAAATGTTCACGAACGACACAAGACAACGGACAAAAACAGAGAGCAATAGGTCACCTGAGTTTACATAATGCATGTAAAGATGCAACATATGTGAATATATTTTGAAAGAAAATGTTTCTTTTTAATCAAATATGAAAAATATTCTCACCTATACCTTTCATTCTGCGAATTTTCTTTTCACATTCCAATGGATCAGGGAAGTATCCTACAAAAAATATTTAATATATATGTAGTAAACATGTTTCCTTTTGATGCCCAGCCTCTTCTAAAACCACTTGGCTGTAAGGGAATGACCTACCATTTGATTCTAAGAGGGGGGGGGGCTGGCAAAATATTAGTAAGAATGAGATTATTTTCATACCATTTAGTACAGACTGTTTTTCCTCTTCACAGAAGAAAGAAAAATATTAAAAAGATAAAATTTCAAAACTCTATTTCAAAGTAGAAAAAGAAGGAGGGGCTACCAATTATCTAATACAGATTATTTTTCTTTTTGCTAGTGGAGAAGAGAGTACAAATAACTGTATTTGACACATCATTAAGTAGAAATTCTGGGAAGTTCTTGACATAGCTTGAAATTTCTAGATGTTTTTTTTTATTATACTGTTATTGAAAACATTACAGAGAAACTCATCTCTTCACTCAACCAGAAAATTAGGTCAGATTCAGAATCTGAAGCAAGTCTAGTAGTATGAATCCTAAGATGTACCATCCAAGCAAGTTTGGTCATTATACACGCATTCTCAATTTATAGTCTCAATTCGCTTTAAATAATGTACCGCGTTTTAAGTAATATAATATTTCAAATAAATTTTATTTTCTGCCACTCATATGAACCATTGTTGTTTGTTGATTAAAATGCAACAATTGTTTGTTGTACTTTGAATGATTGTCTTAGGAGAAAATCACATTTTTATAGCAGAAATCGATATTTACGTTACTGTCGCCGATCATCATGTAGTTTTTATTTTAAACCAAAAAGAAGTTTTAAATCATTTACATATCTTTTTCTTAGTAAGATTGTCCTACATTTGAGTTATATTTTCTGAATATCACACCCTTCACACATATGCGTGTCACAATTTTTTAAAAGTTTTAATATATTTATAAAATTTTGATGTCACCGCAGAATTATTACTTTTCTATTTGGAAATTCAAAAGGACTGGAAGGATTGATAAACTGACTCAATAGGACTAAGTTGTAACTTTTTAATATCATGAACACCTCTTCTATTGCATGGAATGGTAAAAAGGACACTCTTTATCTGTATTTATGAACAATAGCCCCCCTTTTCTTATAAGTCCAATGGTTAAAAAATTCAACGATATTTACGTGTTAGTATTTATTCACAAATTACCCGGTAAGTAAGAGAACTACACTGTTCCCTATGGGTCAAATTGCCTTACACTCAAGCACTAGAATATGCCTGTAATTAACAGTGGAATAATTGAACAATGGCATTAAAAGTTACGATAAATCTCAGAAAGATATTTACGTTACCGATATTTACGTTACCCATATTTACGTTACCATGTTTTAAAGTAAATAAGTATTAATTTCCAAAGCTGTTTGAACAGATTTGCGAGTGAATCTTTAAGATGTAAATACTAAGAACATGAAGAAATATACACTGTTTCTTAAAATGTCATTTTTTTCTGTAACAAGAGTGCAGAAAAGCAAATTGAAGTGCACATGCAAAGGTGAACATTTTTCACTCAATATCTTGTGCATCCGTGTGATTTGAAAATTGAACTGACATAATATTATTCACAAGTAGAATTATGGTTTAATGATTGAATCTTTCCATTTTGAGCAATTGGTTAATATTGCATATATATAGTTTCAAGTGTAATGCACGTTATCATTCGGAACGTAAATCTGAAACAAAACTTTCTTCAAGTCTGTATTTTGCTGTTTGTTTGAAATGATTGTGTATCGTCAACTTAAAAAATGGTTATATACACCTGAATTGTATACCAAGCTTAACATTTTGAAGGAAAAAAAATCATTTTTGTAGGAAATATAATTCCAGAAAATAGACGCTGCGTTGCATGCAGGGGGGGGGGGTGTTCTACATCGGGTAAAAACAGAGGGTGTTGGGTGTCAAGAAACTGAATGAAATTGAATCCATTTCCATTTTTGTTGCTTTGCAAGAAATACAAATATTAACATGTATAAAATTGTGCACCTAATTTTCCCATTGGAATTGCTTAGACATATAACGTATGCATCTATGCTTTAATGGTACTGAAAATTCAATTTACGTTATATGAACATAAAATGTATATTGCTCTATAGAGCACATGTGATAATCAACTTAATTATTGACAAACCTTTTAAGGGTGGTGGGCGATCTTTGTTTAATTTGTGAGATTTGACGATAAAGTTTTCACAAACAATTAAACATTTCAGACATGTAGCAACAGGGGGGGGGGGGGGGAGCAGCCCCCCCCCCCACTTTTTTCTCCAACCTTACTTCAACTATAGTAAATGTTCAGTGAAAGGCTTATTGCCCCCCACCCCCACTAATAGTGATGTTAGGAAAATGTAGTGTAATAATTGGTACTGAAAGTAGTTGGCATTGAAAAAAAGTTCGCCTCCTCTCCCCCTCTAGGATTTTCGACTTTGTGCAAGTTTTCTCACCCCCCTTTTTTTTGCCTTGTCAACTTTTCAGTTAAGTAAAAAAATTCTCTGGCTGCCCCCCCCCCCCCCCCCCACACACACACTTTAAAAAACGATGCTATATGGCTGCGTTTGAAATAATCAACAGATTAAATGGTGGAAGGGGGAGGGGTTATGAATTACATGAGTCCTCTATAGATAAATCATAACTTGAATTTTCAATTCAACCCTTTGTAAAGAGCGTATATATAGATAAGAAAATTCATAAAATTCAATAATTTGAAATAATATAATCATTTTTTCCCCGAATATACTTTTATTTTTGTATGATATCTATGTGCGATATTTACGTGATACTTAACAAACACTTTGTAATCAGGTAATGGCGAAATATTTAACCTTTTTATATTCTAAATAATGTGCGTTTCTCTGAGCAGGTTAATAAAGAATCAATTAATGTAGCATTTTAGGGAATATTGTCATTATTAAGCTTATCATCAGATGTGATAAAACTTGCTAAAATAAAAAGAAAATAATTTCATTTAAATGAAAATTACATCCGTTTTATTTTAACTAATAATTGAATCAAAGATTCTAAACCCCTTTTACAAATTTTCCTAAAACGTTTATACATGTTTATAGTTAACAAAATTTGATTTGTATTATATTGATTTTGTTATTTTAAAAAAAATTCTTTCGTTTCCAAATATGGCTTTTCAACATCACGTAAATATCTTGATTAAAAATTTGCCCTCCAACCGCTTTTATTTCGAAGGAGGCCAACAAAACAAAGCATGAAGTATGTAAATCAAATTGCGATTTTTAATAACTATACACTTTCATGTTTCAAATGACGTATAAAAGTGTTAATTTCAGTTCACTACATTTTTTGACTTTTCCCAAGATCGAATTGGTACTATAAATTGAGAATGAGTGTATAGGGATCATAGTATCTTTGAAATGAAACCTGTACCAAAAACTTTAACCTCTTCACTCAACCGGAAAATGTAGGTCAGATTCAGCATCTGAAGCAAGTCTAGTAGTATGCATCCTAAAATGTATTATCCATGCAAGTTTGGTCATTAAAGGGCTCATAGTATCTTTGAAATGAAAACTGCACCAAAAACTTTAACCTGTTCATTCAACCGGAAAATGTGGGTCACATTCAGCATCCGAAGCAAGTCTAGTAGTATGCATCCTAAGATGTACCATCCATGCAAGTATGGTCATTAAAGGGCTCATAATATCTTTGAAATGAATCGTGCACCAAAAACTTTAACCTGTTCACTCAACTGGAAAATGTAGGTCACATTCAGCATCCGAAGCAAGTCTAGTAGTGTGCATCCTAAGATATACCACCCTTGCAAGTTTGGTCATTAAAGGGCTCATAGTATCTTTGAAATGAAACCTGCACCAAAAACTTGAACCTGTTCACTCAACCGGAAAATGTAGGTCACATTCAGCATCCGAAGCAAGTCTAGTAGTATGCATCCTAAGATGTACTATCCAAGCAAGTTTGGTCATTAAAGGGCTCATAGTATCTTTGAAATGAAACCGGCTCCAAAAACATTAACTTGGTCATTCCTTTGCTGAAATTGCAGCATCTGAAACTTTGACTGGTACAATGAAACACACTAGAAACATTTTCCATGCATGTCTAATCAATATAGGACACAGAGGTACTTAAAAAGAAAACTGCTCCAAAAAACTTAACCTTAACCCGGGACGCCGACACCGACGCCGAGGGTATTACATAAGCTCTACCAACTTCGTTGAGGTGAGCTAAAAATGTATAAGCTACATGTACTCTGTAGTTCTGGTATGTTGAAATTACCTTCACTGTAACACGTATCCACAGCAGCTTTGATATCATTCAGGGCATAGTCACTATCATTTCTCAAAAAGTTCTGCAGTTCTTTCAAGGAAAAGTCGATTGGAAGTCCATCGTCACCTATACGAATTCTTAGTCTCATAGCATGGATATGTCTGATGGCATTACGTAGGTGATTTTCATATCTGTGGTTGGCAATGCCTGTAAAAACAATTACTAAAAGATATGAACAAGCAAATAATATCACAATCACTCATAATTAAATGAACTAATATAAAGGTAGTACTTGTTACAAAAATTGAAAATGAACCTCATCATCTGATTTATGCATTAAAAGGTCAGAAATTGACGTTCTATTTTCAAGTTGATGTTAACACCTTTTATACTCGTTGCTTACATTTTTTCATTAAGCAAGTTCTATGAACCTTGTATTGTAGTGTTGCGGTCAGCCGGGTTTGATCGCCGGTGGCCAGATAGCTCAGTTGGTAGAGCACCTGACCGGAGTTTCAGGGGGCCCGGGTTCAAATCCCAGTCTGGTCCGCTGCAATTTTTCCTCTCTCGTTACATTTGGTGCCGTGCCATGCCCTGGAATGGACAGGTGAAAGACCTGCCAGGGATGAGCCTGGGTTGGGGTCTTTGGAGGGCCAAAGACCTTTAAGGAGGGAGGAATGTGGCGGTCAGCTGGGTTCAATCGCCGGTGGCCAGATAGCTCAGTTGGTAGAGCACCTGACCGGAGTTTCAGGGGGCCTGGGTTCGAATCCCGGTCTGGTCCGCTGCATTTTCTCCTCTCCCGTTACAGTAGTAAGGTCTCATTTAATAAAATTTGTTAAAATGTTAAATGTGTTTGGTTATATAATTTAATGTGATTTCAATATTTACCTGGCCATGTGCTTGTGTTGTGATTTGAGTTGTGTGTAGTGTTTTGTCCAGTTTGGTAGTGTCATATGATGCATTATTATGGTAACTGAGACCTTGCCCTTTTCTGCTATTGGTTAGGTCAGTTAGGTCATTGTGTATTAAGCTTTACCGGTCAGTCAGGTGGTAGATTGTCATGCAATTCTTGCTTCTCACATTCTGCCCAGACCTTGGTCCTGATAGCAGCAGCAGCAGGTGCTGGTTTCCCATTTTTTGTCAATTCTGCATACTGTCTATTTACAAGCCTCCAGACACATTGTCTTTGGTAAGGACATGTATTTGTCATTTTAGATATTTTTATTACTTTGAATTGGTTAATGAAGCTACTGGCTATAAAGTTTGTTTGACAAATACTTTTGATTTACCAAGCTTAATTATCAAAATCTATTTTTTACTTCTATTTTCATGTTTTATCTGTAAAGCCCCATGAATCTGTTCAGTTGGAATTAAGAGTTATTGGCCTTTATTCAGAGTGCAGTATTGTTTACATTTATCATGAGGGAAAGTATAATAATGAACATTTTGTCATATACCATTATATTTCATGTGGTGTATGTTTGTTTATGCTTGTAATTATTTGCTTTGCAGATTTACATGTATTTATATTTATGTTTACAATTTTAGGGCTCGATCATCGATCATTCTAATAAACTATAGTGAACCCTGACAGCGTCTTGATTCTTATTAGACCTGTAACAGTATTAATCCGAGATTTCTCTGGCTCTATCCCTTGCTTTTTATATTGGGTCTTGTTGCCAACAAATGAAACATTATTTGAATTAGGTCACCTTCTCGTTTGATGCTTCATTTGTCAATGATAGGGCCTTTTAAATAGCTATAGCATCCTTTAAATGATTGTTAAGTTGTAAAAGAATCATCCCTTTACAGATTTCTCGCACCTCGGACTTAGATCCTCGAAAAAAAGTAGTAAAGGTAGGCAGAATAATGCCAGAATTGCAACATCAGATGGTGTCGTTGAATTCCCACTTTTCAATATGGCCTCTGCTTTGACTCTCCCATGCACATGTCACAATATAACAATATAAAAAGCAGGGCTTAGAGTCAGAGGAATCACGGATTACGGTTGTATCTGTTTACCATTTTTTAAAATAACATATAGCAAATTGCAATATACATTTTCCTTCAATTAGATACTACACCACTTACAACTGCATACTTTTAAGCTTACTGAGCAACTATTTTTAATATATCTGCATTACTGTCAAATGCTCAATCCTTGATTCTTTTAACTTTAATATAATCTGAAACCTGATCAGTTTAAAGATGTTTAAGATGATACATGTACTTCATAAATCAACAGAACAAGATCAAGTACCTATTTCTTGTAAAATCAAGTATCTATTACAGTACTACTTTCGCCATGTGATTTCTTGAAAATGCTTCGACAAATTTAAAAGGCATTTTATTAGATTTCGATAATGTTGTATATAATCATCAATACAAAAAGATGAGGATTAAACAAACACTGATTGTCAGTTCAACCTAAAAATAATTACACAATACAGTGGAGCCTCATTTATCCGGACGCTTTGGTTCCCAGTCAAAAAAGCATCTGGATATCTGAATCACCAGTTAAACAAGACAAAATAACAATAAAAAATTCCGTTCCGATGAAAAATTGTCCGGATACTGAAGCATCCAGATATCTGGCATCCGGATATCTAAAGGTCCACTGTACACATCTTTCAAGAGACCATAAACATGAACACCTGAAAAAAATAGATTGGGATCAGATGCCAAGAGTAAGCATCCCCTGTCAACTGAACCCCCCTCCTCCTTTACATATTAGCTCGATGGAACAATTTGTAGAAAATTTAGTTACCCTTGAAAAGAAACAAGTTAGCCAAAATAGGATTGATGTATAGGTATCATTTACTAACAAGGTTATTATCACCACCATAGAAATTGTATGATGCTGAATTTAAGCGAAGTTGTTGAACTCCCTTTAATATCATTTTTTTTTTTAATGAAGCCAGCTTAAGTTTAAAAATTTATATCTGAAGCATGTTCTTGAGTTTTAATATTGTGTATGTCTGTAGAAATAAACACTAAATACAAGTGAGATCGAGATCTTGCTAAAGAAATAAGGAATGTTTACAATGGTAAATTTGAAATGATCTCAATTGTCATGTACAAATTAGTTGTCTGCATTTTCCACTCATTTGTGAGTTCTCCCCATTCAAAAAAGCATGGCATTTTATTTGAATAAACTTGGATACCCTTTCATTGGTTTACCCAATGATACTTTGACGTCAGTTTGGTTGAATTTTGCAATGGTTCTTGCACAGAAGTCCAAAATAAGGAAGTTGGACTGAAGTCAGCCAAAATATGATGAAAGAATAGATTAATACATTTACTTACAAGGCCATTATAACGACCATAAAAATGATGACATGCTGAATTTATAACAGGTTGTTAAAATTACTGTAACATCAAATAACCTGTCAGTAGCCTTCATTGATTTTAATTTTATAGTTAAATCAATTTCTATTAGTTGTATGTGGGGATTAATTTATACGAGTAAGCACATTGAAGAGTAGTTGTTTGGTCATAGTATATAAGAAGTTGGTCAGGCGTAAAGCGGTCATCGACGAGCAATAATCAACCAGATTTCGAACACGCTTTTTTTGAATTACTTAGATATATATATACATATATTGTATAATTAAGACATGTTTCATTGTATTTTGCAGATAGATTGTATTTGGAATTTTGGATATATTTCTTGGGGTCATCATCCAGTGCATCGCTACTTAAAGTCGCGTGTTAATTGTACATATATGCGAATAAACTGGTTGATAGGCGCTCAACATACTTTATATCTGTGTTCTGTTATTTATTTTCTAAGTACTTAGAATAGAAATATTTTATGTTCCAATGACTGAAACGAAGGAGAACATAATCAGTGATTACAGAGCCCACCAAGGAATGTTGTCTATGAGAAAGTAAAAGTCCCACATTAGACTCAAAATCTAATAGTGCACATCAGATCAGGGATGCAATTTTGATTTGATAGGGTTTGCAATAACTTGAGAATAGACTTGAAATCAGACCAGCCGATGCCGTGGGTATAACAAAAGCTCCCGACAAGTTTGATGAGGTAAGCTTCAACTGACCAGACTTGAAGCATGCTCTTGAGTATCAAAAATGTTTGTTGACCACTGAAGCCTTAAAGCTGACATGAATTCTTAAAAAAGCAACTTTTTCATCTACGTACGACTTGTTTCATACCAACTACAGCCATATTCCGCCATATTTCTTTCAGATACCTTGTCTTATAGTAGCGATATATACCCCAATGCCTTCGTTACACTTGAATGATTTTTTGGCTTGGCAATCGACTTGTGCACATCTCCGACGGTAAAACATTTGAAAACACATGGGTTGATCAAGACATATCAAAACCACAACAAACAACATTATGATCATATTTCTGAATAAATATTGATTTGAATCAAATGTAATTAAAAAAATAAAAAAGAAAACGCAAGTTTGAAAGAAGATTTAGTTGCACGAGTACGCATTTTTACACTGCGCCAATTTATGCAGAATAAACATGAAATAAAAAGCACTAAAACCCGTAAACACACTTTGAAATTATTATCATTGAATGAAACAAAACACCCAGCGTCTTTGATTTGCAGGTTTTATGCAGACTTCGATGCATGTCGAGAAAACGCGTCGAACGCTGTAAACATACCCATACCTGGTAATAAGATCACTGCATCGGTTCGAAGATGTGCACAAGTCAAGTGATATACACCCTGAATTCCATTTATTGAAATACACATCACAAAAAAGAAATAAACTCCATAAAAACTCCAAAGTAAACACACTGTTACTACTCCGTACAGCCTAGCACATCGAAACACTTACTCCGTGCTGATCAGATTTTGGTCAGGGAAAACATCACAAGTGGAAAAGAGAAGTTATTTGGTATTTGCGCGGCTGAAAGGGGGGGGGGGCTAAAGTATAATTATAATGGCTTTATAAGGTATAACTGAAAATTGTCTATCTAGTTCTAATAAACATTCTATATGTACATGTAGTCTGCAGTTGTTTTGCGTCGCAAAATTCATTTGTCAATTACAACTGATTATTTTAGTACTAATCTCAAATATAAACTAAGTAATTATTTAGTTCAAGACTTAAAAGCATTTAACCAGAATACAAAATTTTATGGGTACATCTGTACGTTCTTTAACACACACGCGAAAAAAAAACATCCCCTGTTTAGATTGACATTTAGGCATTTGTATTTTTAA